ATTTATAAAATAAAGTAATTAGAATATTAGGACTAGCTACTAGTATATCCTAAAAATAGAGGTTCAAATTAGAGTAGAGGTCCCTAGCGTAGGTTATATAATTCAGTAGACTAATTGCTAAGGTTCTAAATCTTATATATACAGTATATATATACCCCTAGCGCTTACTTAGTAAGTATATCAGCCCATATAGGCCAGTTATATAAGTGACCCTTAGGGTTATAATAAATATCGACTTTATTATAGGGTTACCCCCTATAAAGTAGTAGGATAAGGTCTATAATATACTTATAATTATAGTTAATATATTTATAAAGTACTTACTATATATTCTTTATATAAAGGACGTAGAAGTAGATAGACTTATAACCTTATTCTATAAATATATTATATCTCTCTTTAGAATACTAGGAAACCTTATAAGTAACTAAGGTATAGTATTTATAAGTAAATTCTAGTTATTATTCTATTTCCTCCTTACTATAAGGTACTAGTTATTAACTACCTACTACCTATAGATAAATAGATAGATAGAAAGATAAAATCAGAGTATAGAGTACTACCTAAGAGGGTATATTAATTAGTACTAAGATAACTAGGTATATTAGCTACTACTAGTATAGTTTATCTATAATAACTCTACCTATAGTACTCTAGGTATAGTATTTATAAAGGCTCTGCTAAGCTTTAACCTAGACCTTTATACCTTAATATAGGAGGACCTAATAGATCTTTATAAGGATATAATATAATATATTAAAGATATAAAGGAAATATAAATAGACCTAAGGGTATACCTAGAAAAGTCGAAAGAGGTTATAAAGAAATTATATAATAAGAAGTATATTAATAAAACCTTTATAATAGAGGACTAAGTCCTAGTAAGGAATATATATATTAACTTAAGAAAACCTTATAAGAAATTAGACTATTACTATATAAGACCTTTTTAGGTTATAAGAGTAATAGGGAAGTAAGCCTACTAATTAATCCTACTACTTAGGTATTATAGGATATATCCTATATAATATATATCTTTATTAAAACCCTTTAAAGATAACCTATAGATAGGCTAAGAGAGACTAGACCCTATTATAGTTAATAGAGAATTAGAATATATTATAGAATATATTCTTAAAAACTACTATAAAAAGATAGAGTATTTAATTAAATAGAAAGACTATAGAGATATTAAGAATATATAGAAACCTTAGGTATATATAGAAGAAACTACTATATTAAATTAATTTAAAAAAGAAGAGTATATAAGATTACTTATAAAAACTAAAAGGGGGTAATCTATAAAGAAGAAAAAGATAAGCTAAGATTATAAAGATATTATAAGAAGTAGTATATATTAATAGAAATATAATATAGAAAGTATATAATAATAGATATAGGAAATAGGGCTAAAAGTCTAATATAAATAGCCTAGGGATAATATAATATATAGAGGTATTATAGCTACTACTATAGATAGACTATTAACTAAGGATATATAGAAATAAGGCCTAAATATTATAGTAAAGGATATATTACTATCTAAAGGATTAAAGATTAATAATCCCCTTCCTATATTACTATACTTTTTATAAATCCTAGGATTACTACCTAAGCTATAATAGTATTCTATATAAAAGCCTATACCTAGGATATAATAGACCGCTAGGAATATATTAGGTAAGATATAGGGACCTATAGAGAAGATAGTAGAGAAGTTAAAGGAAGAGATAACTACCTAATTAATAGTAGTAATAGCCTAAAGGTAGATATATTAGGGAATATAAGCCTATAGGAAATAGATTATATAAATACTAGCTATATACTATAGAAATAGCTAATTAGGTCTTTTTAAATATATTACTAAGATCTAGTTATAAAAGGTATTAGGATAACCTAATTTATAATTATATCTAGGTATAGATTAACCTAATAGGTTAGTAATACCTTATATAAAGAAATAGGACCTCTATATTATAATATAAACCTACTAAAGGCTTATATAATAGGTATATTTAATACCCTAAGATCCTATATAAGATATATAAATATATATATAATTAATACTAATCTAATTTATATATTATATATATTAGGCTATAGTAGGATTTCTAGTAAAGACCTAAGGGTTATAGTTAGATATAGTAGAGGGTAGAAGAGGAAGTTAGGAGTTACTATTATAGTATATTTTCTAGCGAAGAGGTTGCTATACTAAGATAAAGAATATATATTTAAAGAAGTATCTCTTAAAGGAAATACTAAGAGCTTCGAGGATATAGCTTATAAAGGAAGGGGGTAATATTATAACCCTAAGGGTTACTTATATAACTAGCCTATATAGGCCGATATACTTACTAAGTAAGCGCTAGGGGTATATATATACTATATATATAAGATTTAGAACCTTAGCGATTAGTCTACTAAATTATATGACCTACGCTAGGGACCTCTACTCTAATTCAAACCTCTATTTTCAGGATACGCTAGTAGCTAGTCCTAACAGGCTATATCAACAGCATCGACCGGGCGCTTTTACAGTAGAGGACGCGAGGGAGTACCTTCTTCTATATCACAGATAGCAATCACTACATTGATTACAGTAATTCAGCGTTCAGTTTCTTTCTTAACTATCTTCCCTGGTATTATCAAGATACTATCGATAAGCGTTATATACTACAGTGTCATATAGCCTATACACTATAGCGCCCCTATAACTTCTTTATTAATAACTTTTCCGGAAAGTTACCGCTTACTATCAATCACCGGCTACTCATTCTTATACCACTTAAGATTTTTATAAATCAATCGGTACTTTTACTATCTCACAAATCAATCGGTGCTTTTGCCATCCCTTTTCGTTTCGTAGTTACTTTACTATATAATTATACTACTCGTCTGTATAATCAAATTTCTGGTATAACTTTTTGATACCTTTCTCTTAAGCCTTCTACCGCTTACAGAGTATTCGGGAATAAGGGCTACTCCGCAGTAGGTTATCGCCGAACTCCTACTATAATATAGCCTAGGTATCTTTATAGGTACGCTTCTGTAACGGATAAAGGTCTGTACAAGAGGGAAACACATATAAACCTGCATAGGCTCGGGAAGGAACATCTATATCATCATACATCTGTTTCGATGTCGATCCGTGAGGGGTTTGTCACATGAACATAGGTAGATAGATTTCCTTATAGTTTAGGACCCCCCAGGGGCCCCTCCGAGACTGGCAAGAATTAGTCTTGGCACACCATCAATACATTGTGTTCCCTCCACAAAGCCCTTTATATCTTACCCAGTTAACAGGCCGTACACCTACATAACGTATACCTTTACATCTTTACTATTAAAAGGGGTTTTTAGGGTGAAATTCTAACTTAAATCGCTACCCTAGCTTAGGGGGGGGGTTAGCGTTTAAAGATAAATATTGAGTTTTAAAAGTACCCGATTAGGTAAAAAAGGTATTAAACCAGCTACTAAGAAGCTATTTTTAATTATCTCCGATTTAAAGGCTTTAATTTATATAGAGGGGTATACTTTAAGGAATTTAAGTTTATTAATATAGTTAATCTTAGTCTATATTTTTATTTTAACTAACCGGCTATATAACTGTTTTACTACTATAAAATAACTGATATTAAGAGGTTATAAAAGGTAAGAGGAATATAGTAGTATATAAATTAGTATAATATTATTTTACTCGTAAATTTAATCGAATTAAGGGGTTAAATAGCTTCTATAGCTATTAAGTACTAAAAGTCGATACCTTCCTACTATATATAATAAAGTTAATAGTATAAAGAGTTTCTAAAGCTAGCGAAGTCTAATTTTATTAGAAGTCTAACTATTTAAACTAACTTTAAACTACTAATCGCTAGGAAGGCCTTTAAACTATAATTTAAGGAAGACCTTACCTTTAAAAATAATATATAGAGGGAGGGCCTACCCTACTGTATTTATATATTCAATTACAGTTACCTACTTATAATTTCTAGGTTATAAAAGTGATCTCTAATTATAGTATTTACTTCTTATTATAACCTTTACTATTATAGTTAATCCTATTATAAATCTAGTCTTATCGAAGTTATAGATATTATCTAGATTAATTCTAAATTAAAGAATAGTTTTTTAAATAAGATTAAACTATTCTCTAATGATTTTTAGATCTTTACATTTCGTATACTTATAATTATAATATCTTAAGAACTAAGAAGAAAGAAGAGGGTATCGTTTTATAAAATTATAAACCTATTTTTCGCTAACTAAAAGAACTAGGGTAGTTCTACACTATTTAAGAAGAAGATTCGCTATTTCTTATACTATAGAGGGCTAGGGGGCTACTCTATAAGAATCTATAGAGAGAATCTATTTTTAAAGAGAATTCTCCTTAGTTTCTATTAATTTCTGTAAATTTGTGTACGTAGTACTTCGTTAAGAACAGCCAGAGAGGCAGTCGCGTAAAGTTATACGCGGGACATCAAAAGTATATATAGTAAGAGTAATCGAGCTGATATCTTTATTTTGAAGAGCCTGGATAGCTAATAAAAGCCTACCCTCTTACTGTTCTAATTTACTAGCGGATTGAGAGCGCTTTGGTGGCATGGTGGGTGGTTGAACTAACTAGGTACTGATTCATGGACGCGTTTTTGGGTGGGGTGGCGACTCGTTTACAGTGGCGACTCGTTTACCGATTACATTATGGGCCTAACGAATGACTAATCTACAATCTGTTCTTAGCGCATCTTTCCGGCACTGTAGATATTCCGGTAACCGAATTACCACAGGCCTGTTCATTCCGACAGGAACCAAGCATATTGGCCTCAACATTATGACGTCACATGATAAATCTATCTGTAAGGCCGACATCAACTCTGGCAGTTTTGACATCTTGGACGTTTGAGGCAAGATCTTGACATGATTAATTTCAACAGCCCAGTATTTCACGTGCTCGCTCGTTACTACCGATAAGTCCCTGGACCCTGGCTCTGGACTCCCCAATCATGTCCAGTCTTCACGAGCTCCTTCACCGACAGCGACCAGGACGATGGCAAGAATTCCGCGCCCGGCCTTGTGTCTTCCTCGCAAAAATGCTTTATGGTTGGTACGAGCCTATTCCAGCTACGCCACTCACAAAACCTATCGCGGTTGTCTGTATTTCCGATACCCACAACACCCAAACCGACGTCCATGATGGAGACATCCTCATCCATGCTGGTGATCTCACACAATCTGGATCTTTTCAGGAACTTCAAGATTCGATCACCTGGCTACGAAGCCTACCTCATCCTACCAAAATTGTGATTGCTGGCAATCATGACCTACTACTTGATTCAGCGCGGGATGATGTGTCTGGTCGAGCAGCCTCCGAGCGAGCTCAAATCGACTGGGGAGATATAATCTACCTCGAAAACGAGGAAGTAACAATTTATTGCCCAAATGGTCGTCAACTGAGGGTCTACGGAAGTCCCTACTCTTGCCGCCATGGCAACTGGGCCTTTCAATATCCCCGGAATCAAGATGTATGGGCTGGCTCAGTACCAGATGGAATTGATGTGCTAATTACTCATGGTCCACCACTTGCTCATCTTGACTTACTGAAGTATGGCTGTTCTTATTTGCTACAGACCTTATGGAGAATTCGGCCAAGGCTACATGTATTCGGCCATATACATGAGGGTTCAGGAACTGAGTTAATGCTGTTCGACAGGCTCCAGGAGGCGTATGAGGGAACTGTCGCCGCTGGAGGGGGCTTGAAAAATCTACTGTTTACAGCCTGGGAGTTTGCTAAGGAAGTCCTACGCCCAGCCGTGGAAGCAAAATGTTTACTTGTAAATCCTGCCATTGTTGGAGGGTTACGGGATAATGAACGAAGGTTGCCTATCAAAGTTTTTATCTAATTTTACAATCTTGCTGACCAACTATATTGAATCCCACCTGTGCAACTGTGCTATGCATGCTTCCGTGCCCCTATTATATGGACTCGTCATTTCTTCTCTGCACATGGTGATGAATTTCTCGCTTTTTGAGGGTATACTTATCTGTCCGATGAATCACCGTGATATGTATCCCGATTTGTATTCATGATAGCTACTTAAATAAACAAACCCGCTGCAATAATATCACTGGATACTGAGGTAAAACTTAGTGTGCCTTTCTCCTCCTAATTTTTGGCATCGCAAACAAAGAAAGGTTCTCGGAAAGGTTAGCTAGACCGCAGGGAAAGTACGGAGGAGATAGTACGAGGTTATTGCTTTATTTTTCAAGCCTAAAGTCTCTACTGGTATCTCATTCCTGTGCTCAATGTGAAGAATCATGTGATATGCGCGACTGAACAAGGGTTATAGGAACACGCTGCCCCAGGCTACATGCTGTTTCTCTAAAGTAGTTGTTTCCCTAAAGTAGTTCCGTATGCTCCTGCCAAAATGAATTCGAGTATCCACGAATGACTGGAGATACACGAGTCGACTGGAAGCTGGTAGATCTGTATTCAAAACTTCCACGTTGATTAAAATGGGTCAGTCGCTGTCCACTCTCCGCTGGCGTCGCAGTGCTCGTAGCCTACAAGAGCTAGCCGCTCGACCAGCCGCGATACGCGACCTGAGTCCGAATCTGTCTTGTGAAATTCTCATTTCTGCCCTCGAGAATGTTGCCAAATACACTTCAGCCAAGAACCAAGACATCACTCTCGTTGTCGTTGGTGGAATCATCAATACAATCTTCCTCAGAAGTCGCCCTGAAACTCATGATGTCGATTTTTTCAATGACAATCTTCCACCCGCCACGCTCAGGTGCCTTTCGAAGGCAGCCAAGTCCGCTTTCAAAAGGAATCGTATACTCGGACGGGGGTGGCTCAACAACCATGTTGTTCTCTTCGTCCCATCCCATATACGACGTATTCTCCTCGATGAAGCGCTTGAGCAGCACGAAGTTGTTTTTCAAGCCCCTGGACTTACTCTCTTAGCTGCTCCTTGGGAATTCCTTTTTTGTACCAAGTTGCATCGACTGTCTGGAAGAGGTGTTAGCACCGCAACGTCTTATGATCAGGAGGACGCGGTTCATTACTTGGAGAAGTACATTTCACTTCAATCTACCGCCGCTGTAGCCCAGGGAACTGTTAGGTTTTGGTTTGGACAGTATTTACTTGATTGGACCACAGAAACAGAGGAGCTGCTCCCGGGTGTGAACTCCATGTACCAGACCACTTTTCATGTTGAGCATGATCCAATCATTCTTAGTTCTTAATTCTTGCCTTGATTGATCTCAATACATATTGATTACTCACGGTCTAGCTAATCTCCTGATTCCAGGGAAGAGGTCCAACCACTCGGATGTTCCAAGTTTCAACTGCGCATCAAGTTTTACGGTCTTAGTCGAAATGAACCTCTACGTGATGGGCATAAATAGACGATTAAGTATGTGGAATCAAGAGATGATCTCATTAGCTAGCTAGACGTATGAAGTAATACGCCGCGCTAAACCTAGAGAGTAGATGTCAAACTTAGAAGCGTATTTCGTAGTACCTCTCCGATATGGTGTAGTGGCTAACATCGTCGTCTCTCACGCGACAGCCGGGAGTTTCTTTTGCCGGCAGCGGCAGCGTAAATAGTTAGCACTCCGAGGCAACCTGCTGATTGACTAATTAGTCACTCTTCAATCTACAGGTATTGGGCCCGAGTCCCAAAGTTGAAACCCTAAATTAAGGACAAGTGTGATGATGAAATAGAACTATCCAAGAGCAGATACCGCTATTTATAGTCAACGTCGCTGCCTAATAAGCAGCTACTTCTACCCGTGACCGCCCGAACGAACAGGAGCTCCGAGAGCTAGTTCGTCGGAGTGATAGTCACGTATAGGTCTCGCCTAAGCTATAGGGCAATCTAGTGGGTTGCCTCCGTTAGCCACGATAACCCTGACACTTGAGGTAATACATGTAACTACATACTCGTGATTTTCCCCCTCAATTTTAGACCGCTATTTCTAAGAATCTGACTGATTAGATACTTTTAGCTACGGGAAGTGTCCGTCCCACCCAGGTGTATGGTGGATCCCAATCATTCAATGCCATCAACCCTCTGCGTATTCTCGGTCGGTAGATGCGTATGTTGACTATCCCAAATCAATCTTCGACCCCTAGAGCATATACACAATTTCCGGATGAAGATCAACCAGAAGATCAACGACTCCTGCCAAGTGGCCACCGAAATCATTTGGTAGATTGTATTGACGTATTTGTCAAATATACGATCTTGATAAGCTAATAATAATGATATTTACTTAATATATCGGGCTTTTTGATGATCACTTTAGCGAACGGGAAGAAGATAAGAGGTTAAATAAGAGAAGATGAATACTACCATAGGAAGCTAGATAATTCACTACTGCGCATTAAGATATAGAACGAAACGCGAGGAATGATGCTATCTACGTGAAGCTTTTAGTAGATCTTACAAACTAGCGAATATACGGAAAAGAGAATCGAAGTGATATATAGATATATCCGTGGAAGTTGACCGCTGTTAAAGGGTCGTTTCTACGAGCTACTTGCTGGTGAGATCCTATACAGCGAACCTTCTGGGCCCAAACCTAACGATCCGAATACCATCAAAGCTCAAATCCTCCTGTGACGATCTAGGAAGGATCGTACTTGCCAAACGAGGCAGGAACAGTCACGTCCTCGTACTTGCCAAACGGGAATTAAGCGAAGACAAACGCGAGGGTATAAGAAGGGAAGAACGCGCACTCAGATAGTTTCTCTTTTTCCTTTCTCCTCCGTACTTAGAATTTGGTTGAATTACACTCCTTTCTTCTGAATCGAATTGGCTCGTAACACCTCCGACAACATAAGGCAGACCATAAATTTGAAGACACCTTGAATAAATTTGGTTATATAATACTTCCAGTTGTGGTTACGTGCACATGCCAAGATGCCGAGCGTTTCAGAGGGAACGGAACGATCCAATGACATTCGGTTATTGTTCAGCCGAAGAGGTCAGTGCAGTGGTCGCGCGACTTGGGTGATTCTCACCCTGATTCTCACCCTGTCTATAGCGCACTCATCTTTATCACCCCCGATCGCGCGACCGTAAAGCGGCGCTCACCCATTTCTCACCCGGGCGACACCCACCCAACTATTGACTGCATATAAGCCACACGTCGGTGAGTTAGTAGTTGGGTGGGTGACCACCAGCGAATCCTCACTGTTGTATGTTTTTCTTCCTTTTTTGCACCTGAATTAGATCAGACCAATCACTCGCACTCGATGGTTTTTTTTTAAGACTATGTATGTATTGAAGAGGGGACCCTGGGATAGGGGCACCGACAGCCCTGCCTGCGAAACAGGTGTGAGAGCAGAGTCGTCACTGGGAGTAGTAGGGTGCTAGAGAGGAGAACACAATGGGGTAACTACTGAGAAGTGAAAGTGGAAAGGTGTCTGCGTTGCTATCTCCGCCTCTGGGGTGCTTTTATATCACATGACCGCCTAGTCATCCTGCTCTGGAAACCCCCACGTGCAGTATGGATGTAGTTAGTGGAATGTAGTCGCTTGTAACTTTCTTCAATCACGAAAACGGCTGTCTCCACTGGTACAGGAGGCAGTCTGTGGTTGGCCATGTCTACCCTAATTGGGATCCTTTCTGTTTATTTTTCTCGAGGCTATCTTTCATCCAAGGTCTAAGTAGTCCAAGCTGATCAGCCAGATTTCGGGTATACCCCATACATATCACGTGATGCGCTTCCCCACGGCTTTCCTATTCCGGCCTTCCCCGCACTTCTGCATATCCATCTCGCACCCCGAGCATTTCGGATAGCCACGGTTAAGGGCTATGCGGAACTGGTATGGCAATCCCGGCTCTTTAAAATGGCGTTTCTCCCCGTTTTGGGTTTCCTGAATTCAAGCGATTCAGCGTTGTTCTCCCCCTTGGACTTGGAATTGTGAACCCGTCAATCATTATTCTCTAAGCGTATAACACTCATCACCTACCATTTGTCTTCGGCATCAGACAGCAAATTACATTGATCAAGAAAATGAGTCTTCGAACAGCCGTGTCTCTCCCGCGCAGGGCGACTTGTTTCTCTGCGTCCGCAGTGAACGCCCGACGCTGGCCGTCCAGCAAGGCCCGAGCCTTTTCCACAACTACGCAACGCGATGCGACGTGGGGGTTTATCGGGCTAGGACAGATGGGTATGTTTTGAGATCGGCCGCGAGGACCTCGGGTATACAACCTCGGCTATACAATGGACTGTGGGATGTTGTTTCCAACTGCATTATCTAACTACATTAGGCTACCATATGGCCAAAAACCTGCGCGCCAAGATCCCCGCATCCGATACCTTGATCGTGCGCGATGTCAACGAAGATGTTATGAAACGATTCGTTGCAGAGGCTCGGGAGGCCGCACAAAACAATGGCGCAGGCGTCAATGAAGGCCAAGTCGAGATCGCGAAGAGTGCGCGCGAGGTCGCCGAGAAATCGGTGAGTGGCTACCACCCCTACGGGTTCAGCCTGTGGCTGAGCTAGTGGCTTCTCTGCATAAACCGCGCTTCATATACTTGTGTCCTTCTAGGGTCTGATAAATATGCTTATCTCTGTCTGCCGTTTAGATAGTCATGGTTACCAGTCTCCCAGAGTCTCAACATGTCATTGAGGTGTTTCATTCTATCCTTAAAGATGGAGCGCTGCCACCGCTCGAGCAGGAGCGTCTCTTCATCGACGCATCGACCATTGACCCCGTCACATCTAAGGATATCGCAAACGCCATCCACACCACGCAAACCGGCCGATTCGTGGATGCCCCTGTATCGGGAGGTGTTGTCGGTGCTCAGGCAGGAACGTTGTCATTCATGTTTGGCGCCTCTTCACAATCAAGCGAGCTGCTTGAACGCATCCGCAGTGTCCTCGCTTTGATGGGTAAAAAAGCTTGGCATCTTGGTGAGCCCGGCGCTGGCGTGTCTGGCAAGCTCGCCAATAACTACATTCTGGCTCTGAACAATATCGCCACTGCTGAGGCTATGAACCTCGGTGTTCGCTGGGGACTCGACCCTAAGGCGTTGGCTGAAATGATCAATTCGTCTACTGGTCGTTGCTGGCCCTCTGAGGTTAACAATCCCGTTCCTGGTGTCGTTGAGACAGCCCCCGCATCCCGTGGATATGAGGGCGGATTCGGGGTGAGCCTTATGCACAAGGATCTTCGTTTGGCTCTTGCGGCTGCGGAGCAGTCTAATACTCCTCTCGCCCTGGGTGCTCAGGCTCGTGAGGTGTACAAGGCTGTCGAGGAGGAGTATCGTGGTAAGGATTTCTCGGTGGTTTATAAGTGGTTGCAGGAGAAGTCTCAATAAGTTCTCCTCATTTTAGGTGAAGTTTCCTGGGTATTTTTCCTTTCGATGTCTCCCCCGACTCAGTACCTGCTGCTCTTTCTCATAGATGTGGATTTCAGGATATAAAATTACAATATAGCATTCTTCTACTCAATGGAATTGAGTCTAGGATTTCCATTTTGTGTTTCTACATCTTCAGAGCATATACAATATTCAATATCAATGGTTGATGTTCTGCAGCTTTCAGGTACACGGGATATAGTTGTCTCTCGCCCCATGTGACTTCCCTTTCTCTTTCCCCCCCAAACACGCCAACGCCCCTCATAGCTCCTTCTCTTCCTATTCTTACGCTCTTTCCTTATCCGACATCTGCCATTCTTTCTTCTTGCGTCTCCTCCCATCCTCTCATTCCACCTCCATCCTATTCCTTCATCCCCCTATCCCTCCATTTACTCTGCCATCGGTCCTGTCCTGGCCCATTTATCCCCTTGTCGATTTCAAGGTCATCCAGACTTTCATTCCGTATACCTCATCCCCACCTACCTCTTCCTTCGTTTCGAGTTATCATCAGACGCCTTGTAGCCTGAACAGACGGAAGGTTGCATCCTCGACAACAAGTAAGTCTTCCACTCAATTTTGCCATGTCCTACTAGCCTACCGGTCCTCGTTCTGGCTGACACTGGCACACTTGGATAGCAGCTAGACTTTCTTCTCAGAATTGTCTATATAATTTGGTGCAGGAACTCAGGTGAGTTTCCTGCGGTTGGCACTATGCCATTGAGGAATTTTGTCAAATGGAGGCTAAAGGGGCTGCCCATCAAGCCTTCTTCTTGTCTGCCAATTCCAAAGAATCAGCTGACAAAATCCTTCTCTTTCAGCATACGCCCTTCGTCATGCACCCTCAGGGCTCTCAACACACAAGCTCCTCTGGTTCTGGCTCTTGTCAGACATCAAGCTCCCAGTCTGCACAATACCCCCAAGAGCCTCGTACACCCTATGGTCCCAGGTACCACCAATCTACCAATCCGAGTTCTATTGACAGCAGTGGTGCAGGCCTGACCAATCTTTTCAGAGGATTAAATCTGCAGAACTCTCGTCCCAAATTCAACGGCTCAAAGGGCACCGCACCCGTTCAAATGAACACAAACATGGACTGGTCGAATACCAACCGTGCATACAACAGCCCATTCATCCTGGTTCCGAATTCCACCGTTTTCAATGGCGTTCCGACCGTCTCTTCCTTTGTTCCTAACGGTGTCTCTGGTCAGACTGATCAGATGGGCCAATTCTCGTATCTTCCAACGGGAGTCTACCCCAACGTCAATCCTGTGATGGCTGGTGGATACTCGTCGTGGCCCTACATGATGAACTACGACATGCAGGATGGGACGACCAACAAGCAAGCATGGGTGTCTGAGGGCCAGAAGGGAGTTCAGGGGGAGAACAATGGACAAATAAATTACTATCCCTCTGCTCTTGTTTCTGGCATGGATGGCAGTTCCATGTCTGGTTACTCTTATGGAGGCATGGTTCCCTCGCAGCTTGGGTCGCTCTCGCTTCCCCTCCAAATGATGAAGACTCCCAACGGTTACGTCGTTCAAGATCTGGAGGCTCTAACTCAACAAGATCCTGCCATCCCACGCGCGGTGCCTGCCATGTGGACTAACCCGTCTGAGCTGACACTCGCCAAGTGTCTGGAAAATCGCGAGGGTATAACCAATGTCTACATCCGAGGATTCCTGCCCGAGACCACTGATGAGATGTTGCATGCCTACGCAGCTCGTTTCGGAAAGATTGAGCGTTGCAAGGCCATCGTGGACCTGGATACCAGTCTTTGCAAAGGGTACCTACTCCACAAAACTTCTTTCCGATAATTTATTCTAATCTTTTGCAGATTCGGTTTTGTTCAGTATTACAGCTTCGAATCCTGCGAGAACTGCATTCGCGGTTTCTTTTACCTCGGCTACCAAGCCAGCTTCGCCCAGAAGTCTCGCAACTCTCGCCTGAAGGATCTGGAGGACAAGTCTTCTACCAATATATACTGCACCAACATTCCAATCGATTGGACTGAAGCCGTGAGTTATACAAACCCCCACACGCTTGTCTGTCCTGTTGAATTCTAATTAGTTTATCAGGACCTGCGTCGTCATTTCGAGCCATGGCGTGTGGTTTCGGAAAAGATCAGTCGCGATGAGAAGACAGGTGTGAGCAAGGAAGTGGGCTTTGCACGGTAAAAAAGCAAATTCCTTCCTTGACTCTCATGACCTTTTCTGACTGGTTTACAGCTTCGAAAACCGTGATGTTGCCGAAAAGGTCCTGATGGAATTCCACAACGTCACCAAGGACGATGGGGTAAAGCTGCTTCTGCGCTTTGCTGATACCAAAGCGCAAAAGATCCTGAAGCAACAGAGCAACGAACGTCGTGCTTACCGCGCCGGAGAATATAACTACTCGGTTGAAGTGGTTCAGGGATCTACTCCATCCCCTGGGATGAAACGTGGCTCTCATCTTACTCCAAACTCTCAAGTCAGCTATACCTCTCCAGCTGGTGTGGGCGCTAACTGGACCCCGGCAACTTCCATCTCCCCTTGGTATGTCTAAATACTTGAACTGCATTCCAAAACTCATTCTAATCGAGCTCACAGTCACCCGCACATGAAGAATCCATCCAGCAGTGCACGAAGCAGTTCCTTGTCGTCTCGGAGCCTCAATGCTCTTGACCACACGCCCGCCTATCGCAGTCGAGCCTTGTCCCTGAACCGCGGCTCTTACACTGATCTCTCTGGTGGTTCTTCCAAGACCGCCATGCCGGACTCGCCGACTATGGGGTCTCGTAAAGAGAACATCAGAGCGGGCTCTGTATCCCCCGCTTCTTCTTCTCCCATGATCATTCTCTCCCCAGCTCGCTCGTGCACTTAAACCAGCCGTGCAACGTGCTCCCACGCATATATGTATTTGCATGGGATGCTTTACATCATCTTATCACTCGGGGTAAGATGATCAGCACCTCTCCAGGGTGCTCTCCAATATCCAAATGCGCAGCATCTGTTACCATTCGCAGAATGTATCGACGATGTATAGCTCAGCCTTGCTTTTTTATGATTGTTCTACGATTCACGATTCATGATTCACGATATGATATTCGGTTGCTTTCTGTTTACGACCCTTCGTGGCATTTTTAGATGACTCTACGCGGTATCATTATGGAGTTCGATCTGCATTTTTATCAAGTTTCATGGGAGGATGGGAAAAGCTTTTTTTCTTTCTTTCGCAGTTATATGGACTTTACATGTTTTCAGCATATGTGACAGACAAGATGCATGTTTCAAGACTTCGTTCAAAGAACGCTATCGCACCTTATTGGGTTGCGCAGTCTAATATGATATTATTCAAGATGAAAAATACTCCATGTAAGGTCCATGTTCAAGATCCAAAGTGCGTGAGCACAATTGTGACGTGGAGGGCAATCTATCCGAAAAGGCTAATGAGATAGGAATCTCGATCTACACAGGTAAGACAATCCACATTATTCGGGTCAATTGCGCCCAAGTCTCTCCTCCAGATCCTCGGTGAGCTGATAAGCAGGAAGATACTGTCCATCAAGCTGAGCCCCAAGCCGCAATCTCGGATTAGGATGGGTATCAGACGTGCCACCAAGACTAGTATATCCCTCGTCATAAAGCGAACAGTACTTCAAATCCAGATGCCGAATGAACGCCCAGATCTCCGCATAATGCCAATCAATCATGGGATGCACGCGTACGAAATCCGGCCACCCCCCGTCCGTCCGATCAAAGTGCGTCAGCTGTGTGCCATGCGGATCCGTCCGCCGCGTACCAACAAATATCGCCCGGATCCCAGGGTGGTGCGCCAGATAATCCTCAAAGCTCGAGCGGAGCGTCGAAGCCGGCGGCGCAGTCGTGTACTTTGCAATATCGAGATGATAAGCTTTAGCGGAGGAGATGACGAAGTCTTCGACTTCATCGAAGGGATCAGGTGGGAGGGCATAAATCGCCGGGATGACCTTCGCCGCGGCTATCTGGGCTTCGGTGTCGAGGTCTGCGGGGGAGGGGGTTGTATCGGTTGTGTTTGCATTTGCGGTGGGGTGTGGGTCATTGCCGGCATGGATTGGATGCAACCCGGCCAGAAACAGAATTAGCAGGACTAGACAGTCCTTGCCGCCGTTGTAGGAGACGGATAGTTCCGAGAGCTTGTATCGCTGCAGCGCGGTGCTGACTACTTCTAGGGAGATGCGCGTCTGCCGTTGCACGGAGGCCAGCAGCGTGTCCGGGGCGTGGGGTTCGTTTAGGAAGGCTTGTACGCGGGCGTGGATGCGTGAGATCACGGTGGGGAGAGGAGGAATTGTTTCATCGCTGGTTGAGTCGTTGAGGGGTTGTTTGTTGCTGTGAGGTGTTCCATTCTGGTTCGGCTCGGGCTCTTGGTTGGGAGGGGCTGATGGTTTCAATGGTTCGGATGTTGCTGGTGGTAGTGGTGGGAATGGTTGAAGGTGATCTTGCGGCCGGAAAGGCGCATGTTTTGGAGTTGTTTCAGTCATGCTTGTGTTGAGGTGAGGTTGACGGAGCGAGGTTTGGGGCGGGGTGTGGGTTTCTCGGGGAGACACAACTTAATCCACTGCGGGGATACAAAGCCGATGTCAAGCATGTGTAGACATACTCTATGTATACATAGATCTAGATAATTGAAGGTCGATATAAACCAATTTGGGAACTTCCCGGAACCCCCGCGCCTCACCGCGGTTCCTCGGTGGAACTCGGTAGATTCTCGTGGATCTGGATACCGCGAACAGCCTAGGCATATATGATTCATGATACAATTTACTGAATGCACCTTGAAAAAATGCTTAATTGCGGCCGTGGCCGTGACAATTCATAAGTAGATCCCTAGACGCCGGTAACGCTCAGAAGGGAAAAAAAAATTAAAGTCAAATCAGCCCAACACCTTCATCTTCTTCTTCTTCTTCTTCTCATCACCACCAGGTTTGCGCCCCTTCTGGAAATCCCGCCAGCTACCAATGCGCTCTTCGCGCGTCTCCTCCCACTTCTTGTCATTTTCGCGCTTGCGCTTGCGTGCCTCGAGCTCTTCTTCTTCCTTGCGTTGCTCACGACCTTCCTCCTGCAAACGTGCCTTGAGCTGTCGCCGGCGTCGCGCTTCTTCATCCAATAGCACGCTGATTGTCTTCTTCCGCCACTCAACCTTGAACTCCTCGGTTTTAAGCTCGGGGGAGTCGAGTGTGTACTTGTGTTCACGAATCAACAGGCGGCGCGCATCGGAGATACATTCGTCCAGGTATTCGCGTTGCTTCTCGTCTAGAAGAGCTTCCTGTGCCTTATTGAGGCGATCGAAGGCATCTGGAGCAGCGGGGTTCTTGGTCTTGTCGGGGTGGATCAGGAGGGAGATCTTGCGGTATTGGACTTTGATGTCTTTTTCTGTAACACCGGGTTGGAGGTCCAGGACGGCGTAGCTGCAGTGGGTTAGTGTATGTAAAATATATAGAGGGGCATTATTCTATTGTAGATATTAAGATTAGACGTACGAATCGAGCTTGAATGCCGAGCGAATGCGATCGATCTCAACATCCTGTGTCGCGTGTCAGTCGCAATCTAGATGTATACCATGTGGAGGAGGGCATACCTTTTTAAACTCGGAGGCCTCTTTCTCTAGAGCTTCGAGAAATTCCTGGTCTGGCTCGTCGTCCGACATATTGCCTTCTGCGGATTCTTTTGAGGTAGGAATGTTCTTGCGCTCAAGAGAGTACGACCTCAAAAAAGATAAGACAGCGGGCTTATCGGTCGCTGAGTCAGCGCCCGGGGCCCGCTGCCGGACCTGGCAGCAACATACAAGAGTAGCAGTCTCCTTGTCTCTCTCATTAGCGAAGACTATCATTGTCATGTACAAACATCTAGTCGGCCAAAAATCATATTAGATATTCCATCCAAGACACGATTACAAATAAGCTGAAGACATCAAAATATCTAGTAGTTATTAGATATCAGAGCTCCTTACCGCTTTCCCTACCGCCTTTGTTTTTCGCTCCCAAGAAGAAAAAAAAGATGTTTTCACCGCCCGCTACTTTCAAGATTCAACTCAAACCACATCATGGCGCCACGAGCAGTTAAAGGGAAGTCAAAGCCTCACCAGGAGACAGGAAGGGTCTTGAAACGAAAGCGTGGCGAGGATAGCTTAGCTACACTCATCAAGCAGGTCGAGGACCTCGACCTCAAAACCCCCGTCAAAAACTTCTCCGATCTCCCACTCTCCGAACCAACAGCCAAAGGCCTCGCAGCCTCTCATTTTAAAACTCTTACCGACATTCAATCGCGTGCTATCAATCATGCGTTCAAGGGACGCGATATCCTCGGTGCCGCCAAAACCGGTAGCGGAAAGACCCTCGCCTTTCTAGTGCCCATCCTCGAGAATCTTTATCGCAAGAAGTGGACTGAGTTGGATGGTCTCGGTGCACTCGTTCTCTCGCCTACGCGTGAACTAGCAATCCAGATTTTCGAGGTGCTTCGCAAGATCGGGCGATACCATAATTTCTCCGCTGGATTGATTATCGGCGGAAAGAGTTTGCGCGAGGAACAAGATCGTTTAGGACGCATGAACATTTTGGTTTGCACACCCGGCCGCATGTTGCAGCATTTGGATCAGACAGCTATGTTCGAGACGAATAACCTGCAGATGCTGGTGCTGGACGAAGCCGATCGTATCATGGATATGGGTTTCCAGAAGACTGTCGATGCTATCCTCGACCATCTCCCCAAACAGCGCCAGACTATGCTTTTCAGTGCCACACAGACCAAGAAGGTCGGTGATTTGGCTCGTTTGAGTCTGCAGGAACCTGAGTATGTCTCGGTCCATGAATCAGCCGCCTCCGCCACTCCCTCCACTCTCCAACAACACTACACCGTTACTCCACTCCCGCAGAAGCTTGACACCCTTTGGAGTTTCATTCGCAGCAACCTAAAATCTAAGACGGTGGTCTTCTTGTCATCAGGCAAGCAAGTTCGCTACGTATACGAATCACTAAGACAATTGCAGCCTGGTATTTCCTTGCTCCATTTGCACGGGCGGCAGAAACAGGGTGGACGATTGGATATTACCACTAAGTTCTCTCAGGCTCAACACGCTGTCCTTTTCGCTACCGATGTTGTTGCTCGTGGTCTGGATTTCCCTGCTGTCGATTGGGTTATCCAAATGGACTGCCCCGAAGACGCCGATACCTATATTCACCGTGTCGGACGGACGGCTCGTTACGAGCGTGTTGGTCGTGCGGTGCTCTTCCTAGACCCTAGCGAGGAGAAGGGATTCCTCAAGCAGCTCGAGCACAGGAAAGTTCCGATTGAAAATATCAATATCAAATCGAACAAGCAGCAGAGTATCAAGAACCAGCTGCAGAATATGTGTTTCAAGGATCCAGAGCTGAAATACCTGGGCCAGAAAGCCTTCATCTCCTACGTCAAGTCGATTTACGTGCAAAAGGACAAGGAGACCTTTAAGATCAAGGAGCTTCCGTTGGAAGAGTATGCAGCCAGTCTGGGTCTTCCCGGTGCTCCGCGTATTAAGTTCATCAAGGGTGACGATGCGAAGGAGCGGAAGAACGAATCTTGGCGAATGGCACAAATGTCCGATGATGACTCAGACGCAAAGACGAAGGATAAGAAGGACGAGAAGGAAGTGCGGACACGGTACGACCGTATGTTCGAGCGACGCAACCAGGGCGTGTTGGCGGAGCACTACTCGAAGCTCATCAACGACGATGGCACGATGGTGGCTACCGATGCCCCCAAGGATGCCGTAGAAATCGACGACGAGGCCGACGAGGATGCCGACTTCCTCTCGGTCAAGCGTCGGTTCGCCGCAGGCGATGCAGAACTTGGCGGGAAGAGCGATTCTTCCGACTCGGAAGATTCCGATGCGGAGCCAAAGATCAAAGACACCAAGGGTGTCAAGATGGTGCACTTGGACGGCCAGGACCCACTACTCATCGACTCGAAGCGACGCGAGAAGCTGCTCAAGTCGAAGAAGAAGCTCCTCAAGTTCAAAGGCAAGGGTACGAAATTGGTCTACGACGACGACGGCAATGCCCACGAGGTGTACGAAATGGAAGACGAGGACATGTTCAAGGCCCGCGGCGACGCCAACACCCAGCGCGAGAAGTTCCTCGAAGGCGAGACGGAGCGCACACGCCAGGCCGATATCGAGGACAAGGAGGTTATGCGCGAGAAGCGACGCGAGAAGAAGGAGAAGCGCAAGGCGCGCGAGCGTGCCGAAGCCGAGGCCGAGGCCGCGATGTCGGAGGAGGAAGACGGCCTCTCGCATCTCCCCCATGTGCCTTTCGAGATCCCCGGTTCCGATTCAGACTCTGGCTCCGAGCGCGAGCCACGGCCCAGCAAGAAGCAGCGTGTCTCTTTTGCCGAGCCGGACAGCGACGACGACAAGCCCAAGAGCAAGAGCCAGGCTTCTGCCAAGCCTATCGAAACGCTGGGAGATCTGGAGGCTCTGGCCAGTGGATTGCTTGGTTAATGTATATTTCATGGTTTCATGTGTTTGAGGTCTTTGATGGCGTATGTTTTCCAACCAAAAAAATCTCTTTCCCGGCGAGGTTCAAAAGCATAGTGAATATGAAAGCGATAATTTCCAGATGTGTATAAACTATCTCATACATGTCTAAATAAGCTCTAAAAGCCTCCTAAATGTAGTATGTGTGCCTGAACTACCTACTCCGTACCTGTAACCCTATAAAATCTTACCCCAACACCAAATGTGGGGGCGGACATTTCCTTGACACATCAACGTCACATTTCGTACGTTAAGCCCTGTGTACTCATCGATGGCTTCAATCACGCCATCGAGGAAGAAAAGTCTTGCTATGTGGTTTTTATCTTCATCGTGTTCATCTTGATCTCAACTGTTCCCGGTCAATGTGCCTAATATAACTTAGTGCTACCATAAACGCCAAGGGGTTGTTGCCAAGTGTGGGTCACGCGACTTAGGGCTGAATCGTCTTAGTTCATACATACCAACCCGGACAGGTGAGAGATGATATTGTTTGACCTTTCTTTTCATGTTTTGTGCTAAGACAAAGTTAGTGGATACCTCCGTATCCATATTCATTCTATATCATGGCCGACATCGAGAAATACCCGGCAGCAGAGCCCTCCAAGGTTCCAGACACAAAAGCCGATGATGTCCCGGCAAACCCATTTGTCAACGCAGACAAGCTGGCTCGCCGATTGTCTGGGCGTCAGGTGCAGATGATCGCGATTGGCGGTACCATCGGCACCGGTCTATTCCTCGGAACGGGATCGTCACTTTCTAAGGGCGGGCCTGCTTCGACTCTCATTGCATATGCTATTTGCGGTGGTATTGTCTTCATCACTATGCTGTGTCTCGGCGAGATGGCGGCATTTATGCCTGTTGCTGGATCTTTCTGTACTTATGCTGGGTGAGTATTAGTTACTTGTTTTTTCAGCCGGATGATTACTAACTTGCTCTATAGTCGCTTCGTGGATGATGCGCTTGGATTCGCATTGACTTGGAATTATTGGTTTAATGATGCTGTCTCTACTGCATCGGATATCATTGCTTTACAGCTTTTGTTGCAGTATTGGACGGATCATTTCCCAGGTTGGGCAATTAGTCTAATCTTCTTGGTTGTTGTCATTTTATTGAACGTCCTATCTGTAAAGGTTTATGGCGAGGTATGTCTAGATGACTTACACTCTATTACCCACCTGATCTAACTGTCCCTATCTAGGTTGAATACTGGTTGAGTTTACTCAAAGTCATCACTATCATCGTGAGTGCTATCCCTTACACAATACGCGCACGCCCAGCTAATTATCTTTCTAGATCTTCATTATTCTGGGAATTGCTGTGAACTGCGGCGGAAATACAGACCACGAATATATCGGCGGCAAGAACTGGCATAAAGGCGATGCACCCTTCGTCGGTGGAATCGGTGGCTTTGCATCCGTATTTGTCACAGCCTCCTTCGCATAGTATGTGAACTCATTTTATCATTGGTTCTGCTCAATGAGCTCCATTCTAACAATCGAACAGCGGCGGCACCGAATCCATCGCCATCACAGCCGGTGAAACCAAAAGCCCCGCGAAAACAATGCCAAAAGTCGTCCGCAACGTCTTCTGGCGTATCCTTCTTTTCTACCTCCTTTCGATCCTCATCGTCGGCCTAAATGTACCGTATGACTACCCAGGCCTCTCAGACGGCGACACAAAGACCAGCCCTTTCACAATTGTCTTCCAGCAAGCTGGTTCCGCTGTCGCTGGCAGCTTCATCAACGCTGTCATCATGACTTCGGTCATCTCAGCGGCGAACCATGCCCTCTTCGCCGGATCTCGGCTTCTATTCACTCTCGCCGTCGATGGATATGCGCCCAAATTCTTCGGTCATCTCAATCGATTCCAAGTTCCGTGGGTGGCTGTCCTCGCGACATCTGTTATCAGCGGTCTCTGCTTCGGGGCCAGCTATATCGGCGCTGGAAAGTTGTGGTCCTGGCTGCAGAATATCGTCGGCGTATCAAACCAGCTCTCGTGGATTTGTATCGGTCTTGCTTCTCTGCGGTTCCGCTCGGCGATCCGGGCTCAGGGGCTTGAGCATCTCCTTCCCTTTAAAAATTGGACTTATCCGTATGGTCCGATCTTTGCTGTCGGGCTTAATATTGTTCTGGTTCTGGTTCAGGGGTGGAAGTGCTTCAGTCCGCATTTCAAGCAGGTCGACTTTGTTTCGTATTATATTGAGATTCCGATCATGATTGCCATGTTCCTCGCTTGGAAGCTGGTCAAGCGAACTAGCTTTGTTAGGAAGTCTAGTATGGATTTGATGACGGACCGATATGATCCTTCTCAGGAGGATGGGTACGGGGATGGGCCTGAGGGTCCGGTTACGGAGAAGAAGAAGGGTGCCTGGCGTAAAGCTCAACGGTTTGGGCAGTGGTTATTCTTTTAGTCTTGCTTTTCTTTATTCTGTGAAAAATCGTATTTCGTTTCTTCCAGTTCTTAGGCTTTGTATAACACCTCTTCCACTAAGCCGTTCAAGGGTAAGCTTGTAGTCGCTTTTGACACAGCGGTGTCGTAGGCTGTTTCAATGCAATCCACACACGACGCAGCTGCTGCTTTGACTTGAGATTCTGTACAGAGTAGTTCTGTACTGCTTGTTGGAACATAGCCGAGAATCATGTAAATCTAACCTATACTTTATTCCATGGTGCTGCAGTTCATATCACCGATCTATGGATTTTTCCAAAGTTGGCTCGCGCCGTGGCCACTCTGAATAGGATGATATCGCTCGGCGTAGGTGATATAGTAGACAAGATCGTCGGATATAGTACGGAGCATAACGGAGTATAAACTGAACCGTTTTAACCTTACAGCCCTAGGCTAACGAGATTTTAAGAGGTTTGAGGCTCGACGACCCATTCTATATGATATGAATTTTAATGGCGGTTTCCGTAACGTTGTAGCTTGGTTCCTGTCTCTGTAGAAAGATGGCAGGATTAGCTACACTTGGAGAAAGGGGGAACCCTCAAAAATGGAGGACAAGAAAAAAAAGAAACTCCGATAGGGGGAATCGAACCCCCGGCTGCCGTGTGAGAGACGGCGATGTTAGCCACTACACCATATCGGATGAGGACTGCGAACTACTCTCTTAGGTTTAGCTTTGACCTTTTGGGTTTAGCGCTCTTTGTCCGTGTGCGTTCCCGTGCGTGGTTCTATAAAGTCCTCCCTTTAAATTTCCGGCTCTCCTACTCCTCCTTTCTTCCCCAGTGGGAGCGGAAAATATAGTTCCAGGAAATGAGGAGTGGGCCTTGGGTAACAAGATGAAGCTGAAGTAAGTTTACATTGCTTCTATATCTACTATTTTGTACAGAGAACGTCCTCGGACTCTAGTTCACTAATACTCAGGGCTATGTTTTGTACACAGACTCGCTCGCGGGGTTCAGCCGGCATTCGTGCCGGTGTATCAGTCGGACCGCAAAAGTCTCCGTACGGTCGGGATCCACACCCGCGTTTTTTCGCGAATACTTATGTTGTACAACAGTCTAGGTTGTATTTACTAAAATTGAAAATGGGAGATATATATTTGATGGGGGGTGGGTCGTACGGAAACTTTTGCGGTAGAACTGTATTTAGACTTCTCTATTGGGCCGGGGTGGGCCTAGGCTTCCGCAAGACCCAAAGCCCAACCCACGATGGGCCGGGGGTCGAGCCTTCGGGCCCAACTCGGTCTTCCTGCTGTTAACAGTGCTCGCCCAGCCTCTAGTCACCAGCCTCTCCAACATCTCCGGTCGCATATACCTACTCTACAGTTGCCTCTTGCTGTTCGCAGCTGGCGCGGCTCTTGTAGGTGCAGCGCCGAACATATATCTGCTCATTGCCGGCCGGGTCGTTCAGGGGATTGGCGGTGGAGGGGTGGATGTATTGACGGAGATTATCGTCGCGAGGTAAATGGGAACGAATTGATTGGGTTGTGATGGTCCTTTTTGTCGTTGGGTCTACCGCCACAATCGCCCCCCTTAGCTGGGGGGGTGTTCTTTATCCATGGAGGGCGTGGCAGACATACGTGCCATTAACAATAGGTCCGCTGCTACTAGGAGTCCTTGCATTCCATGAATACCGCACGGAAATTCCCATGTTTCCTCATCGGATCCTCGCAGGCACAACCCCGGCGTGCTGCATGATCGGGTCTCTAATCCATGGGCTGATAACAGCCGCTGTTATCTACATTCTCCCTCTTTATTTTCAGGGAGTTCAACAGGAATCACCGATAAAATCCGCAATAAGTGCCTTTCCATTCAGCTTTCTGGCTGTTCCTAGTGGTTCAATCGCGGCGTTCCTGGTTACTGCCTGTTCCCAGTACAACTGGATCATGTGGACAGGGTGGATTACCATCAGCCTGGGCGTTGGCAGTATGTCACTGTTGGGCTTGCAATCCTCCAGAAGCCTTCAATTCGGCCTCCAGGTCCCGGGAGGAATAGGTGTGGGCGTATTGTACACAATAATCGCCATTCCCTTGCAGGCGACGATGCACGTTGATGATGTCGGTCTTGCAGTGGGCACTCTGGTCTTCTTCAGGCTGACTGGTCAGATTATTGGTCTGGCAATCAGTGCCGCCATCTTTTCTAATACCTATACTACTCGTGCTTCGCGCTGGGAGAACCTGCCGGCGATAGCGGAGCAGTTCAGAGACGGTAGTGCGGCAGTCTACGCCATCGGAAAATTATCGTCTCTTGACGGATATCCGTTAGTCAAAGATAAAATACTTGAAACTTACGCCGTCAGCTTACATTACGTCTGGATAGCATTGGCGGTCTTGGCACCTGTTGGGCTGTTGACCAGTCTCTTCATCGGGTGTAAACCATTGAAAAATGATGAGATAGGAAGGCAGGGATTTGCCGATATAAGGCTTCAGGAGCAAAACATCTAGCATTGTATAATAGACAAATCATTATTCTATCTCAATTGGTTGGATGACTATCTATCCCGCAGCGTTAAGACCGCAGTTGACAGGAAGAATAGACACCTTCAACGTGTGATCACTGGCAACCAGGATGGATACAATCACTCGCTCAATATAGGTAAGGTTTCTGAGTTGGTCCGCATACTACCGCCGGCCACAGACTTCCCGTGGTCCCCGTCGGACTCGGAAGCCGTCGCTCTCGGTCACACCCACGTATACTTATGCCCTCCATTTGCCATAGCCCGGAGAGCCAATTCATATTCATATCACCGACCGTCAGGAACGACCGGACTTATACTTCGGGTTTAATGAGGCTCAGCTCACAACCGCCATCCCTGTCTCCAGCTACTGGCTGTCTGCGACATTCTACGAACCGCTCCGACTACTTCGATCTTTTCCCCGAGTATCGCCTGCAACCGACGGAAGAATAACGCCGCCGCAATGTCCCCTCGAAATCTCATGTCATCAAGACGGTCCTGACCCTACATGTAGTACCGCAGTCGATCCCCACGTTGCAGCGAGCTTCACCACCCGAGGCAAGTCGCTTCGTTAGACTAAGGCCGAGCGAATTATACTCTGTCGGGGCTTACAAGTGACGACTCAGTTGAAATAATACGCCAAGCATTATCACTAGACCCAGTTGTATTTAACGACAGCCATCAAGCATGGGCAAATAGTAAGGGAACGACCCTTCTTGAAACACTCAAGACTCTATCACAGGCAGTCAAAGATCTCCAGAAAAGGGCCGATACCCAGGAGCAAGGACACACAAAAACACCTAGAGGATATACAAAAGAACCTCGAGGATACACAAATAGACCTCGAAGAGGCACAGAAAGCCCTCATCAAATATGAGCGGACGTTTGACGCATATACAATTGAGGTGCAGTCAATTGTGCTGGATAAATGGGCTGGGAAGTCTATCAGTAATACTAGGAGGTCTCAGCGGAACGCTGCTGCCCACGGTGGTAGTATCCTTGCCGATTACGACGTGATCCTCCGGGAGGTGGACTAGCCAAACTCGAGGGTAGACCTGTGGAAGCCGGCGTTTGAATCCCACTATATCCAAAATGCTTACAATTTGCTTAAGGCCTTCCAGTAGACTTTACCGGATAGCTACTGGCAAAAGCGATGCGATTGCAGCCTGCTTTTCGAGGTCAAGAAGTTAAAGAAGGCTGATATACAGGTAGATTGGTAGGCTCTTAGGTTAGATCTGATCAGCCTTCTTATCGAAGACGAATTAACTAGTGGCCTAAGAAACCGCGAGCGCGTCCTTTGATATATAAACCATATTGAGAGGAGATTTATCGAATTAGTATAAAGTATTTACTCGTCTAAAAAGTACCCGCCAAGAACGGCCTTACTCAGAGTAGTTAAAAAGGGTATATAGCTAGTAATTTGGCGTGTGTGTATAGTAAGTCTCTTTTAAAGAAAAATCTATTCTTGTCTTGGATATATATATGCCAGAAACAACCGGACACTGTTATCATTTCTATCACCACCTGGGGAGAAGTTGACGTATCCACAGCAAAAGACGTTTTTATCGGGAATGGAACTGTACTGCTTTCTGTCATTTGTCTGCGCTTGTTCTGTAGACAGGCTGCGACGGAATACTCATGCAATGACTCGCGTACATTAAACTCACAGAATCGAGAACACGTTGCAAGTCTGCCCTGCTCTTGCACGCATAAAACAGCATCACTTCCCTTGCGCCATGAATTATGAGGCTCATAAAACTTCCCCTCGTATTTTTGTAGGACATCCGTTCGCATGTACTATATGATCGGAATCTGCGCAAAGTTGTCCACACATCTATAGAACAGCTATTTGTGGTACTTTCCTGGCACACCTGGAGGAAAAGGCAACTGTAAATGTCTCAGTCTCTCTTATTATTCCCATTACCAGACCAGCAAAATTTTGCCTCCTCAAATTGGCAGTTCTCTCACTATCACAACTTAACACCGTCTTATTATCCAAAGCCCTTCAAATGAAAGCCAATGTGTTGTCCCTTCATGAAATGACAGCGATGGCCTTGAGAATTTTCTAACGCGCTGCCCTTAACAACATCGCCAGTGGTGTTATGGGTCAAGACCCGTATGCTCTCCATAGATACGAATTTCGATTTTTTGGCGAAGGCAGTAAGATGCCCACTGATTGACTGAGCAAAGATGGTTGTACTTCTCCGGTGTTGGAGAGAAAAGAAGATACAAGAACTCCCAATCGGAGACATTTAAGCGACGAGTCCTCACATACAATCAATTTTAGCTCGTGATTGGTTGCGTCGCGGTTCATACGCACAGTCCAATCAGAAATGGAATTATCAGAAAGACCAGACCCACTTACGCGACTGATTGATGTATAGAACCACGTGAGTGGACGGCAACTTCACTTGAGAATTTTTTTTTTCATTCAATCTCTTCACAGGTCTAAAGAAGTGAAAGAATGCGCCGATATAACATACCGATGAGTCACAGCTCAAATGAGGGCAGGGTTGAGCTTGAGGCTGCTCTTGAGAACCCTGCGGATGGCGACGTCAACTTGGCCTTTCCAGAAGGTGGCCGAGACGCATAGGTCTGCTTGCTAGGATCATGTCTCATGATATTCCCCTCATTTGGCTTTCAGACTGCAGGTGAGGATGGACCATACTCTTTTTGACCTGTCGAGGACACGATGACTTACACTATTGATAGTTGGATCCGTCCAGGATTATATCAGCACCCACCAGTTGGCTGAATATGGAGAGAGAGATGTCGGCTGGATCACTGCAGTGCTTGTATTCCTGACCTTGTTTCTCGGAGTTCAAGCTGGGCCGCTCTTTGATCGATATGGGCCCAGAGTCTTGTTGATCAGTGGATCACTTGGGAGTTTCGCTTCCTACATACTGCTCGCAGAATGCAAGAAGTATTGGCACTTTATGCTCTGCCTTGGTCTTCTTGGTGGCATATCTGCAGCAATTGTTACGACAGTCTCCATTGCAGTTCTCAGTCACTGGTTTAGCCGAAGACGCGCCCTCGCTTCCGGAATTTGTATGGGAGGATCATCTGCGGGTGGTGCGATCATCCCCTTGATGTTACGAACTTTGTTTGGAAAATATGGGTGCATATGGGTCATACGGAATGTAGCCTTTATGGCTTTGGGATGCTACATGGTGGGAGTGCTACTCGTTAGAGGACGCCTACCCCCTGGCAGCAAGAACAGAGTGACGATCGACCTTGCAGCTTTCAAGTCACCCCGTCTATGTTTTCTTGCTGTGGCAGTCTTTTGTTTCGAGTTCATCATTTTTGGATGTGCTGCGCTTCTTCCATCCTATGTCCGTTACAGCCGGTTCTCCGTGGATGTGCAATTTTATTCCCTCACTGTCTTGAATAGCATGAGCCTTCTCGGGAGAGTCCTCCCTGGCTTTGCTGCTGATTTATTTGGGCGATTTAACATTTTATTATCCTTGGTTGTGATAACCATCGTGATAATGGCGGGTGTTTGGCTACCATATGTAAACTTCCTGCTAGCCCTAGCGTTCGAGTCTATACCTTGGCTTTCCATTTCCAGTTCCAGTCCAAAAGAGCCCATCGGGACAAGATGACGCTGAGAAGTCCAACGAGCATAATGGCAAAGTAGAACCCAATGAGAACCTGTGAAATGAAGTTAGGACTCGGTGTGAGGGACGGCTCATAGGTGAAAAATACGTTTCACGCTGTGGTTGGGAACAGAGTAACTCGGCTAGTCATGCGTAGGGCGCGCGGGTTGGCCCACCCATCATTAATTGGTTGAGGTTGCCTCACTTGGATACGCTTATCCCGCCAGCGCTTTCTATTGGTCAAACCTTGATACCAATCCAGCCAATCAGAAAAGGGGGAATTTCGTATCTCACTATTGAATCCCGGACAGAGAAAGGTACAGATGCAGGAAATATGAAATCTATACATTCGCATATGCAGACGTTCTTAACTAGAGAGTTGACCGGCTTCTTACATTCTTCTGCATCATATGTGAGTAAAGCTTCATGCTGACGATAAAATTACCTGTAACATCCTGACCCGGGCCCGCCTCCATTGGATGACAGGCTGATCACATTATGAACGTCTGGTCCTCCTGGGCTTCACCAACAAACCGATGGCATTCCCTATGTGCCCTCCACTAAATGTAATTCACATAATCGAAATCTTATGATGCCTGGCCAGATGGCTCTTATATCCAGGAAGAGACATCCAAACACTCAAATATCCAGCAATATCACATTGGCGACCCGGGCTTTCGAAAATGTCCTGAAGGTAATGACCTTTAAACTAAACCTGAAGTATAGCTTCTGTTGTCTGCCATGAAGATAGCTCCCCACTGTGGAGTATGTCGTAGAAGCTTATGTTTTGAAGGAGCTAGGCTGGGCGCTATTCTGGCGTTACCTCGTGACCTTACTAAGGGACGGCGGCTTCAAAAGTGGGGTTCTCTTTATTACTTTGCTCTTTGGCCCGTCGACCTTGCCAGTAGGGGTACGTTTTGGTCACGACTTACGGCTAGAAAAGAAGATTCCAGATATCTATTAAAGATATAAGTCCCTGACGTAGATATATATTCGCAAGAAGACATTAGAGCTCAAGCAAAAATAAGTTTGTTTTCAAAACTCGCGAATCATGCGGTGGACTGCCATCTCCTTTCTCCATTGGAGGAGATTCTGGATCCGTCCGGGGTCAAAGCGCGGGGTAGTGCCCGTCCGGGGTAAAACTCGCCGAACCCATAGCCCGCGGATGAGATGACACCGAGAGGTGTCCTACTCTGACATTCGTCGAGTTCTTTGAAGATCGATCATATTTATCTTGCATTCTACGTCCAATGCTCCCTAGTGAGCATGATGCCCTACAGACATAGAGAGATCAAGCATCATGAGCATCCAACTTCATGTTCGGAGGCCAGCGGTCGAAGACACTCTGAATGGGTCACGTTTGCTGATCATTTGCCCATTCTCAGGTTAAATAACTAGCGCTTACGATTAACCTCTCCCGGCTCCTCGGTTAAATTCCAAGGTTTATTCGTTCATTATGATAGGCTCGACATGACCGGGCTACCCTGACAGGGAATCAGGAGGGTCGGACTTTAGAGTGGACAACAAGAAAAAAACCTGGGACGGGACACAGACATGACTCGCATTCACTGAGCGAGGGAGGATTCTGGATTCTCCCCTAAGATCCAAAGAAGGATATTCTCCGGCGAATGGAACGCCACATCTAGACGTATACCACCACATTTCAGCATACCCCGCAAAGTAACCAGGATATTTCCTCCCCGCTATTACCTATCAGGACTAGTCCATGTCCGATCACTTCGCTTGACAAGAACCCGGCATAATCAAGTGACGCTGCTACCGTAGTGCCCGGGGAAATGACCCTCATGCAAGGAGTTGCCGGGTTGAGGTGGTCAATGTCCGGAGCAAGCTTCACCCAATTGAGCTAAGATCGGGACCATCATCACGAGCGTGTCGCCGCAGGTATAAAGATCTGAGACCCCCTGTCATGCCTGCCCCTCTTTCATTCACCCGTTTCTCTCGGAAATCGTCAACATGAATAGCGACATCACAGAGAAGCAGACCTCAGCGGAGGAGATCGAGGGACAGCCCACATCCATGGGTGGACTTGTCTACGATGTCGGTGAGAAGGCCCACTACGACAGAGCGGGCGCCATCGAGGCCGAGGTGCTTGAACATAGTATGACTGTGCTTCAGGCTGTCAAGGCCTATCCCGCTGCCAGCTGGTGGGCATTCGTGATGTCATGCACCATTGTAAGTTCCTGCTCGAGATAGGCAGATCATTTCCGTAACGTTGAAATAGATCATGGAATCATACTGTGTCTTCTTGATGGGACAGTTTATAGCGACAGCTCAATTCGCCGAGGATTTTGGTGTATACAGCGAAAAAACAAACGAGTGGATTATCGAAGCTTCATGGCAGTCAGCATTCCAGTGTAGCGGGCCAATCGGTGCCTTCATCGGTGTGTTCATGGCAGGTCCCATTACCAGTTGGATTGGATATCGATGGGCCACCATTGGTGGTCTCATGTTCTTGAACGGCTTCATCTTCATCTTCTTCTTCGCCAACAGCCAGGGTATGTTTTTCGCGTCCCAGATCCTGGAAGGCATCCCGTGGGGCATTTTTATCGCCAATGCACCCGCCTACTGTGCCGAAATTGTGCCAATGAGATTGAGAGCTCCAGCGACACAGATGTTGCAAATGTTCTGGGCGGTTGGGTCGATCATAGTCGGCGGTATCACTTACCACTACCAATCCAAGAATGACTCGTCAGCGTACAGGTTCGTCCGCTCCCATAGATGCCATAGAGGAGCACTGTACTAACACTGATCCCAGAGTTCCCATTGCAATCCAGTGGATTTTTCCTACTCCCCTCGCTATCCTACTCTTCCTCGCACCTGAATCACCCTGGTGGCTCGTACGAAAGGGCCGTCTGGCTGAGGCAGAGAAGGCCATCAAACGCCTTGGACGCGCGAGTGCAAATGATAATCCCGCTGACGCAGTCGCAATGATGCGTCGCACGATTGAACTCGAGAAGACTGAGAAGAAGCCCAGTCTTATTGAACTGTGGAAAGGTACCGATCGCTACCGCACATTGATAGTGTGCGGTGTATACGCATCTCAGAATCTGACAGGCAATCTGATTGCCAACCAAGCGGTTTACTTTTTCAAACGTGAGTCCAGCCATTTCCTGCAGCTTCATGGCATACTAACACCAGCTCAGAGGCCGGCATGGTAGACAACACCGCATTTGCACTTGGTCTCATCACTTCTGCCCTCCAGTGGATCATGGTCATGCTCTCTTGGATCCTCACTACATACCTCGGCCGACGCACCATCTATGTTTATGGTCAATTCATCAACTGCGCATTCTTAGTCGCGCTCGGTATTGCGGCTTCAGTTGGCACTAGTAACGCGGCTAGCAATGCGCAAGCGTCGCTTGGCTTGATCGTCTCTGTCCTGTTCTGTTTGGGACCCGCGCCTGCCTCATGGGTTATCATCGGGGAGACATCTTCCGTTCGTCTTAGACCACTGACAACCGGTGTTGGACGAGGTGCATACTACTTGGTCAATATTCCTTGCATCTTCCTTGCCAGCTACATGCTCAACACTGATAAGTGGAATCTGGGCGGCAAGAGCGGCTACATCTGGGCTGGTACCGCCTTTTTCTGCACTGTCATGTCTTGGATTTGGGTTCCAGAGATGAAGCACAGATCCTTCCGTGAGATTGACATTCTGTTCCGGCGCCATGTTCCGGCTCGCAAATGGAAGCAGACGGTCATCGATATCCGCGATGATGAGTAGATGGAAATTGCGGTTTGGAGGTTGCTTTAGGGTTAGCGATCAATGGAATATTCGACTTAAAGGATGATTGATCGTCTTCGAGGCCATCGAGTCTTAATTATATACCTGGGGGACTAGTGCTCCCACCCTGTTACGATTCACGTCATACCACCCCCTTTCCTATTTGGGAATGGTTAATGCCTGATACACCGCCTTAGTGTTTCCCTAGTAAGACGGTAGATACCTACAATTTGTATGTAAACACTAACAAAATTAAGTCACTTTTACCACATCAACTACGTCGTCAACTACTTCAAAAACTACTTCAAAAACTACTTCAAAAACTACTTCAAAAATTGCTTTATCATCATCAAGGGATTAAGGCATGTAGTTATGAGACAAAATACACGTTTTTTCCTGATCAAAATGTAGGTTTTTTTGACTCAGTCTCGCAGAATTAAATTGATGCCTTATGCGTAAGGCGGAATCAGGCGGAATCGAGGCGGAATCAAGGCGGAATCAAGCGGAATCAGGCGGAATAATGCAGAGGGGGGTCCCTATAAGTTATAACAATCCCCTTCGTATATTATCGGACCTTGCAACCCTTCATGTATGCTATTGATCAAATCTATACGCCTCATCAGGTGTGACTCACTATCCGCGATAGATCGCTATCATGCTTCATGTTTGCTGACTTGCTTGCTATTTGCATTACTTCATCCGATTGTTATTGTTTGCCACAGGCTAAGCGAGATGTTCAGAGGTTTTCAATATTTGCAAAGAGACAGCTATATCAACAAGCTGCTTCCCACGTTTGCAACTTGCTTCTTCTTTCTCTCCATCTTGGTTATTCTGAATTCTTCTCTCTTGCAAGTATGTTACATCTAATCCTCTCATGTGATCAACTGACTGAGGTACCGGCGTGGCGTTGGCACGGTATCTGTCGAGGACTCGAGGGCATAGCGCCTAGTACTATGTTCCGAAGTGCCGTCTCCTCGTCGAGGTCGGGTTCAAGATTGGGTAGAGCCACGGACCTGGAAGTCGAGTACGAGACTGTACCCAATCTTGAACCCGACCTTGCCGAGGAGATAATACTAGTCGCTATTCCCCCGCCTGAGCATTCTCCAGCCCCGACAGATACCGTGCCAACGCCACGCCGGCACCTTGCCCTACCTACTATCCGGGCCACTCCCATTTCAGGAGTAGGCACGACATTTGATGCGCCATGAGTCGGGCCGTTTCGCTCGACACCCTCGCTTATATCTCTGCCGCAGAACTTCATGCCGCCATTTCCAGCTTTGAAATCAAAGATGTCGAGAAGGCGTTGAAACTTCGTCTAGACCAAAGAGACAAAGAAACAAAGAGCTTGAGCAGGTTACTCCTATTTCTCCCACAGCTCCTAGGTATGGTGTTCTGAAGATCAAGGTATTATAGAACTAACATGTTGCAGTGGAGTATCTGAAGCTGATTGATGAAGCATTGAATTGATCGCCCTCCACGGAAGCCAGTGTAGGGTGGACCATCGATGCCTTGCTACTCAATGCCCATTCAATCGTAGCAGAGCGCACATCCTCCGCACGCTCTATCAACGTCCAGCCAGTGCGCTCGTATACATATGGGCCGGTGCGATCGAAGGGAAGACCGTGCGACAATCCAGCCTATGTACGACGGCAAATGACGACCACAATCCACGAACGTACGGGTTGACTGTACATGCGGACAGATTTGGTTATGACTTACGCCGAGAACGGTATTCACTTCACACCCGTTGCCAGAATATTTCTGGGTTCCACCCGAGGAGTGGTGATAAATCTAAACAAATCATGGACCGCCCAGACAAGATCGCAGAAGATATTTGGGAGTTAAAAGAGACCGCGCCGTACATGAGAATGACATCGGTTGGCCTACACGACTGACTCCTTCTATCAAACGACTCACCTAGAGCCGGCACCAAGCCCTGATCTGTTCGATTGATTGCGCTTGCGTCTACGGCTCCTGGTTGCTCAAATAGCTTGCTAATATAACTTGGTTCCGAATTTTCTTGAAACTATGAGCCGCTATCTCGTTTAAGTAAAAAAGTGGCAGATCATGGTTGGGTCATTTGAAAGAACCAGCCTAAGAGTCTGATAAAATCCGAGAGCGGCTATAGTAACTCCCATCACCGGCGTTGCAGCTGAGGTAGCTCCTTTCAACTTGAAGTTGCGAGTTGTATTAAGGGCAAGGAAAATAGAATAGTTGACTAAGTCTACAGCATGAATTATGGAGACATTGTTTCTCGCTTTCTTTCGGATGTTTGACCCTAGTTATAACCCGCAATTTTAGTAATAGAATGCAAGCGCCGGTGACATGTCCAGAGTAGGTCAGGGACAATCTGAGCATGGCCACATCGTTTAGTATACTTTCGTTCCGCCGACGGAATTCGATATACGTCATTCCCGCGTACGCCGTATCGGCTTTGCAATGACGTGAGACATGAGGCTAATCGCTTTGTCCTCGTCCCCATGGTTCTAGAGAGTCTTGATTTTCCGACGTTTCTCACCTCCGTCCTCTGGTGAGGCATTTTTATTATTCACTCAGGCACCCGAGCCCCGCCACTTCCGTCACCTGGGCATGCTTGGCATGCTTGGCGCGCTAGTCAGCGCCCTCAGGCAAACGACGCTAGTTTCACTCGGTTTACGGAGAACTCCGGACCCCGTTTCTCTTTGCTCTTATGTACCTACGAGTACTACAAAAACCAGGCATTTTGACTCTTTCTCCGTTGTACTGACTTGCCCCTGCTCAAATTCTAATTGGTCGCGTGACTATCACATGTCTACCCTATAGACAAGCGCGCTACGCAGCAGGTCCTCAACATGTAGCTTCTCAGCTGCTGCCTCGTCTGACCCTTGACCAGAAGTTACTTGTTCATGATGCCAACACCCGCAAGGTCCCACGGCGGGCGAGTCGTGACCAGCGCGGCTTTCATTATCCGAAAATTGGAACTTATTATAAATGTACCACTGCTGAACGCCCTTGGGGTTGCAGTCAAAGGCTTCGATATGTTACAGTTTTTTTATTCAGTACACCGAGCCACCGTCTGGTCTACATTTTTTATTTTGTAGTCCATATCGAATGCAAAAGAAACAAAGCCGAGCTTGTAACGGACCACACAATTTGGAAAGTAAGGCGAGTACTGATATTTACGCTAACATATGTTGTGGCTGTACGGCGTAAGCTTGGCTTGCTTCTAATACCGCATTGCTTGTCAAAGGTTAACCATTTTCTATCAATAACTGTAATCTGATGACAACTAAATCAGTCCGTGTTACCGGAAAGCCCTCAGACCCTCAGATGGTAGTATTCAGCTGTCCACGGAAATTGCATCCAACCATGCCATGCCACTATCAGAACTAGTACGCGAGATGAAAAGGGGCCGGATTGGTGATCTTGCAGTCCTTGGCGTGGGGAGAATACTGAAGCCGAGACTTAAGATTTTTAAGCAAAACTAAAGAGTTCTTACACTAGTTATAAAACACGGATATATCAGCCGGTTGGTAACGGATTGGCTAGGGGATAACCCCCAGAAACCCAGAATCCTTGACTAACTATTCCCCGGAAATCATCTGTTCAACACAGATCCATAAACCCGATCACAACAAGCCACCCACGCAACACCTTACGGAGATGCCGAGTCGGTCCCGATGCCACTTACGACCCTTCTACAGCCTAATCGGAAAGCCGGGTTTGACAAAAGCATTTAGCCGAGATTGCAGCGGTCCGTGTGCCATGTGCCGCGGCGCAACGGATCTGGATATAATTGGTCGGGACCCTGATACATAACTGGGCGAGCCTTGTCTAGCATACATTAAAGCACTTGGCGAAAGAAGAATTTACGTCATGATGGGGCGAAAAGCTTGCGACGTCATGTTGGGTGGAACGGCCTTGGCGGGATCAGGTACACGGCAATAGTAGGATGCAAACATGCATAGCATGGAGAACGTGCGAGGCAGAACCATTTGAAATTACCTGGGTGCATTTCGCCATGGTAGAAAGCGATGAAAAAGGCATAGCGCTATTGATGTTACTGCATTAGACACAGGAATGGGCCCCGCGGCATGCCGTTTTCAAAATTAGTCATCCGTGCCCAGACTCGTGGACCCCCGCCAAGTGCGCCAAGTGCCCCCACCAAGTGTCCCCGCCAAGTGCCAAGCGGAAAGATTCCCCCGCGTCTCTCCGCATCGGGAACGCGCCCTCGCTGGACTTTCCCGTTTCGGATCGGCCAAGGACGTAGTATAAGTCCGATTTTCAATTTACCATATCCGTTGCAGCCCCCGTGGAGAAGTTTGCTATAAGACTCCCGATTCCGCCGTCTCAATATCTTTTCTTTCCTTACCACTTTTTCCCCAACTTTTTTTTATCTCCGCGCAAACGGACGGCCCTTGATTTGTCTGTACCGCCAATATGTGGACAACCACCAGTGGCCTGAGTGGTCGATCGCTCCGGGTGAGCATCACCTTCGTCGCTGTCGTGGGTTTCTCGCTCTTCGGATACAACCAGGGCATGATGGCCGGTCTCCTCAACGGCGACGAGTTTGTCAAGTCGTTCCCAATCCTCGAAAAACCCGACAATGCAACTCCTTCCGAAAGCTTCTACGTCGAAGTCATCCGCGGTGCTGTCACATCCTGCTATGAGATTGGATGCTTCTTCGGCGCGTTGTTCTCCATGTTCTTCGGTGAGAGCTTCGGCCGTACCCGTGTGATCTGTATGGGCGGCAGTGTCCTCATCATCGGTGCATTGATAACAACAGTCTGCTTTACTGGTCATTGGGAGGTCGGTCAGTTCGTCATCGGCCGTGTTGTGTCAGGTATTGGAAATGGCATGAACACGGCCACGATCCCGGTCTGGCAGTCAGAATGCTCCGGCGCACACAACCGCGGTTTCCTTGTCTGCTTCGAGGGTGCAATGATTGCTGGTGGTACCTTTATCGCTTACTGGGTGGTCTTCGGTCTTTCGCACGCCGGAGACAGCGTCCAGTGGCGATTCCCCGTCGCACTCCAGATCTTCTTTGCTCTGGTCGTGGTTATCGGCGCCGCTATGCTCCCGGATTCTCCGTCGTGGTTTGTGAACAGAGGGCTTGACAACGAGGCCTGTGTGGTTCTTGGCAAGCTTAAGGGCTCCTCTCCAGATTCCGATTTGGTGCTCCACGATTTCAATTTCCTCAAGGCGGACGTAGAATCATCGAAAGCCGCTCAATCCGGCTGGAAGACAGTCTTTACCTTCGGCAAGACCCAGGAACTCCAACGTCTTCTTATTGGCTGTTCCGGTCAATTCTTCCAGCAGTTCACCGGCTGCAACGCTGCTATCTACTATTCAACGCTACTTTTCCAAGAGAATTTGGGTATGGAAAAATATCTGTCTCTAATCATGGGCGGTGTTTTTGCTTCCGTTTATGCCCTTGCGACCATCCCCTCCTTCTTTATGATTGAAAGAGTCGGCCGTCGTAACCTATACTTGATTGGTTTCCTAGGTCAGGGACTCAGTTTCGTTATCACGTTTGCTTGCTTGATCGAGCAAAACGAGTCGAACGCCAAGGGTGCTGCCGTTGGTATCTTCCTTTTCATCACTTTCTTCGCATTTACTATCCTTCCCCTGCCTTGGATCTACCCTCCGGAAATCAACCCCCTCCGTACCCGTACTATCGGCGCGTCGGCCTCAACCTGCACCAACTGGATTTGCAACTTTGCCGTCGTCATGTTCACGCCCCTTTTCGCTGCTCAGAGCCCTTGGGGTGTCTATCTGTTCTTCGCACTGTTCAACTTCATCGGTCTGATCTTCGGCTTCTTCTTCTACGTTGAAACTGCCGGTCGTGAGCTTGAGGAGGTCGATATTATCTACGCCAGAGCCCATGTAGAAGGAAAGATGCCGTGGCGGGTCGCCAATGCCATGCCCAAACTCAACTTCGAAGAGATCGCTCAACAATCTCGTGAGCTGGGCTTGAGTTCCATCGATCATACTAGAGATGAGAAGAGCGAGCTTGGTCTCAGCAGCAGTGACAATAGACAGGAGGTTGAGGAAGTCCCGGAGAAGCACTAATTATTTTGGGTGAATGCAATGACGTGCCAATGTGTGGTTGATGGTGATAATGTTTGTGACATGGTTTTTTAGTTCAATTTCCTTTTGGTCTATCTCTTACGTTCGGTCGGTCCCCTTGACGTCTTTTGCTGTGGATATATCAACTTCTGCCCAGGTGATGATAGAACTGATTGCAGTGCCCAGGTGTTTCTGGCATGTATATATATCCAAGACAAGAATAGATTCTTTTCATAATTCTATCTATTATTCTACTTCTTCTACACACCAAGGCTGATCTTCATTTCCACCTGAATAGGTGAGAACCCGGGCAGTACAGCAAATCGAGTTATTTTATTACAGTAATTCGATAAATCTCCTCTTAATATGGTCCATATATGAAAGGACGCGCTCTCAGGCCAGGCAACTAGTGAATTCGTCTTCGACAAGAAGGCTGACCAGATCTAGCCCAAGACCCTGCCAATTCACCTCTGTTTTGGTCTTCTTGAACTTCTTGACCTCGAAAAGCAGGCTGCAATCGCATCGCTTTTGTCAGTACCTATCCGGTAAAGTCTATTGGAAGGCCTCGAGCAAATTGCGAGCATTTTAGATCTCGATCGCGGTATATTCAGCCGGACATACTGTGTCAATTATCAGCATCGCGAGATCTAGTGGAAAGTTACGGAATCCGGTGTGTACGTGTACTTTCCTCCTTATCTGATTTCGCTGGATGGCCTCTGCAAGCTTCAGCACAGACAGTGGATTCTGGCAGATTTCGCGCAGATTACGAAGCGCTCTTTTTATCTCAGAATCAGATTGGCCGGGGGAATCTGAATCTGATGGCATTTCAGACCATCGGGTGCGAAAGTCTTGCGTGTCTCGCAATCTATCTTTTTGCCAAAAGTGTTGCGCCGCCTGTACAAAGATGTCGAGGTTTGCCTCGATGCGCGTAATGCCTCCTTCGATCAACTGGCCGAATAGCGCTCAACAATGGGCATGGACCAGATACCCAGGCCGTTCTTCTGGTAGCTAATAAGGGTCCGGTCCTTCTGGACTGACTCGTGCTGCGCCAAGCTCTCCCAGTAGATTCGCAGTATACTTTGGCATGAAGATATCATCCAATTGACTCCATATTCGTGCTTGGTTTGGGCTGCGCGGAAAATTGTGAACTCCCCAACCTCCATCGAAGACGGTGATGCCTGTGAGGCGATGCCGTTGATCCGCTTCTACTAGAACTAGGCTGATTCAGTCAAATGATCATGCCAAGTTTCTCTGGGATATACTCACTTCCGCGGTAGAGAGCTTTCCATATCGGGGGATGCTTATGGAAAACTGTCTTTTCGACCTCAGCGGACGGGACGAGTATATGTTTCTTCGCACGATCGTCATATGTCTTCCACCACTCTTGCTCATCCTTTATTTCGCGACGTGACGGTCCTTCCCCATTAATCCAGACCTCGTTGATAGAAGAAGCACAGGGTAGACATGATGGTAGGTGGGACCACCATTTTCTGCCGAAGTTCCAAGTATAACTTGGGTCCTTGCGCTGGCCCATCCCGTCAAAAATCATTGCTGCTGAGTTTTCAAAATGTCAGTATAGTATTTATTGCGAGCTGCTCTTTTGAATAGCAAGAAAATTCACACTAGAAATAACACAAGTGGTATAATAGTGGGCGCTGGATATAAGACTGGTCGCGTGGGGGCTGCTGACCCACGGCACCGGTCTACAGGTTCTGAACTTTGATAAGCACCACCGGCATGTGTGCATTCACCACATCCTCCGTCTTCCAAATATACAAATAATAGTATAACCCATGCCAATCATAGCTAAAGTAGAATCTAAGAGAAACTGAGGAGATGGTTTCCAGTCACGAGACGAGAGTTTATGGCGGAGGATATCTCGCTTCAGCATATTAGCGGAGTATTTTGACCTCCAGCATTTAGAGATAACATTCTGGTAAAGAACATCCTGAAGACTCGGAAATTCTTGGGCCGGCATATCTTTTCTCAATTTCATCGTCCCTAACGAATGAAGCACCCTAGCGCTGGTCTCAACATTCGCTGTCACCTGCATAATCGTTTTAACAGCCGCCAAAACTGTCGCGACAAATGTAAACCCTCGCATTACGGTCGCTGAACTCTCCATTATTCTCTGGTTTACCTTATGAATGTCTTCCCTTCCTCCATCTATGCACCCCCAGTACTAACAAACAACCAGGAGGCTCTATCCACCTCATCCTCGAAGGCTACTATGCCCTAAACTTCGCCACCCTTCCGGGCTCCCAGCAACTCCTCGCGCAACTATGGAAAGAATACTCCATGTCTGATTCGCGGTATCTCACTTCGCACGCCTTCGTCATGTCCATGGAGTCCATTACCGCCTGGTTCTGGGGCCCGTTATCATTCGTCTTTGCGTCTTTCATTGTCACGGATAATCCATTCCGGCACCCGCTGCAGATTAACATCTCCAATGGACAGCTGTACGGGGATGTACTGTACTACTGGACCTGTGCGTTTGACTTTCTGGTCTACGGGGTTGAGTACTCTAGGCCCGAGGGATATTACTTCTATGAGTATTTTGTGCTGTTGAACGGGTTTTGGATTGTTATTCCGATTTGTAAGTAGGTTTTTTTCATTCTGTCGTTTCTTCAGAGTTGGTCAGTGAACTGTTCTAATGTTTTTAGTGCTCATTGCCCATAGTGTGAGAGCTTGTGGGAGGGCTTTTGCGGAGGCCAAGAGGGTGAGCACGGTCGGAATGAATGGGAATGCGAAGATAACGTCTTGAAGAAGTTTGTTCAACGCCATATCGGAACTGGTTTTATATACCTAGGCAGTCCCGATGCTATTTAAACGATGACAAAATTACAGTTGGTGAGTGCTGTGGCATTGGGTCTCAATTCGCCTTTTCGGCAACGGTCGTTTAGCACCGTCCTACGATCCCTACGTAACAGCCTAGGGATAGCTAAAGCAGGAATGTTTATAACACGACAACATACAATTAGAAGCAATGATCTGAAAGCTATATTTCAAAGAACGTATCGGAAGTTTGGGTTCTGTTAACTGGTTAGTGAAAAGATCGCAGAAAGGAACAATGATATGCAGTCACTAACCTCGAAATCAGTTAGATCTGCCCCAGCACTCTGGTCGACAGATGACTCGATATGGCCCACAGCAGAAGCGGCAGCATCTCGCAGCTTGTTTCTGCGAGCCAGCACAAACCGCAGCAAAACGGCCAAAGCAGCTTGTGCAGACGAGCATGCCAGGATGAGCTTGACTCCGGTCTGGTATACGGGCGCCTCCTTTGCCAGAAACGCGTGGGGTCCAATGATATTGCCAGCGCAGTACGCAAAGAAAACGAAGGCAATACTGGTTGTACGTTTTGTATAACCACCCAGGTTTGTCGCCGGCATCTGCAAAGCCAGTACCAAAGAGCAGACGTAGGCACCGATGATATAATAACCACACAACACGCCGACCTTGTATGTCTGATGGTCCAGCTTCCATAGGAGACTGGCGCCGATGACAGTCGGCATCAAGTAAATGAACATGATGACAGTTCGGAAGTTTTTGATTCGAGATGCGAGATATGTTCCTCCTAGGACGTAAAAGATCTGGAATCCTCCAAAGGGAATACCCAGCGCGATAGCAGTGGCCGAGTCATTGGTCAACCCCCTGATAATTAGTTTGCCGAAGCTCGCGATCCCACCATTTACGACCTCGTTCAGAAGAGTGAAGAAGAACAAGATCCAAACTTGTGGATCAATGAAAGCTTCACGGATCTGATGCCATTTGATCTGGTGATTGATGATACCGGTCTGGCCGAGTCGACCGCGGCCAATGAGGAGGGCCTTTTCGTCCAGGCTGAAACGCTTCGATGAGATAACGTCATCCGGGAGGAAGAGGAGCATCACGACTCCCCAGACGAGGGTAATGCCGCCCAGAATGAGGTAAATCGCTCTCCATACAGCAATGGTGTCGATTTGTCCAATTCCATATGTGAGAATTCCACCTACCATAGCTCCCAGTCCGTTGCAGCTGTAGAAGACACCGGCACGGAACGGTTGCTGAGCACGTGTGTACCACATTCCGATCATCATCATAAAGCATGGGGTGATGGGGGCTTCGAAGACTCCCAGAAGAAAGCGGCAGATAGCCATTCCAGTGAAGGAGGAGCAGGCGGCAGTAATCATGAGCATGGCTCCCCAGGCAATAATGTTCCCAGAGACGACTTTGGCAAGCTTTGTCTTCTGTGCCAGGATATTCCATGGGTATTCGGCGACGAGATATGCAAAATAAAAGATACTGGCGAGCCAGCTGTATTGGTTGCTTGACATATGTGTCGAAGAGAGAAGGTCGAATACGGCAGAGTAGGCGAGTGCTGATTTGTCGATATATTGAAGCATATACGTTCCAGAAAGTAAAGGTAACAAAACAAGATCTACTTTGCGGACCAATGCCTTGTTGCGTGGCTCGTCATCCAGGAGTGCCTGGATGGCCTCTTGGTTGAAGCCATGTTGGCGGAGGAAGACCTCTCCTTCATCGAGATCCGTTATAGTGCCAATTTGCACATCCTTCTCGTCGATCGTATCGTCCACGGGTGATTTCTTGTCGATCTCCATGCTCGCCATTCAATGAGTAATGAGTAATAGTAAACAAAAAGATATCAGGGAGCCATATATATCCCTCGAATCCTTCGGTCATAATTTTCCGTTATCTTTGGGGTTTTCCCCCGCACGGTATAACCTAGCTACTTTCGACCGGGGAGATAGCGATCCCCACGATGCTATACGTATTTACCTTCGGCTCCACCAAGATAGCCCCCACACGGTATGACTTCGGCGCTACTTTTGAATCCCGGAGAGATAGCGACCACGCCCGCGGTGCTATATCTTGCTCCCGACCCCAGCTCTTATCTCTCGGGATTTCTCTTCGTTGATTTACCACTGAACCGTGATACAATCATGACTGCTGATGCCAAGTCCCCCTCCGTCACCTTGGCGCAAGGCCACGTAATAGGAACCCAACTCAAAGACACTTTCCCCCAACCCGTCGACGCCTTCTTGGGAGTCCCGTATGCCCTCCCTCCTGTAGGCGATCGACGCTTCAGACCAGCAATCAAAGTTCCGAGCTCATCAGATACCATTGATGCGTCCAAGTATGGCCCCGCGGCTCCTGGAAAGGCACTTCTCTCCGGAGGACCGAAGCTCGTACAGAGTGAAGACTGCTTGACGGCGAACATCTTTCGACCGGCTGGCAGCAATGATGGGCGCAAGCTCCCTGTCGCGGTCTATATCCACGGCGGTGCTTTCAATCGAGGAGCGGCAACTATGCACAATACTGCGTCCATGGTGGCGTGGTCGGAACACCCCTTCGTTGCCGTGAGCTTTGGTTATCGCATTGGAGCTCTTGGATTCCTGCCTTCGAGTTTGTCGCAGAAGGAGGGATTGCTGAATCTCGGATTGCGTGATCAGCTGCTTTTATTGCAATGGGTCCAAGAGAACATCGCCAATTTTGGCGGTGATCCTGCCAACGTCACTTTGTTTGGTCTTTCTGCGGGCGCGCATTCAGTGAATCTCCCAATTGCTGATTTCTGTAATATTTATTCTGACCAAAATCTAGATTGGCCACCACCTCCTTAATTACGACGAGCACAAATCACCATTGTTCCATCGTGTCATTATCGAGTCTGGAGCACCAACTTCCCGTGCTGTTCGCCCATATAACGCCAAGGTCCACGAGGACCAGTTTACAGACTTCCTCCAAGAAGTCGGTTGCCCACCCGGTCTAGCCGATGCTGAAATCTTTCCATTCCTACGTTCACTCCCCAGCCTGACTGTAACAAATGCTCAAACGGCTGTTTTCGACAAGTACAACCCTTCCCTGCGGTGGGCATTCCAGCCCGTGATTGACGGGGACATTATCCCTCGCAAGCCCCTCGAGGCATGGGAGTCAAAAGTCTGGAATAAAGTACCCATAATGACCGGATTCAACAGCAACGAGGGAACAATGTACGTCGACAAGAAAATGTCGGACGCCTCCCAGTTCCGCGAGTTCTGGCACAGTCTTCTGCCCGAGCTCTCGCCGTCTGATCTCGACACAATCGAGAAGCTCTATCCTGACCCCGCCGTTGATCCCACATCACCCTATATTGAAGACAGACAGGGCGAGGGTCTCGGACCTCAATATAAACGGATTGAAGCCGCCTACGGACACTATGCGTATGTGGCACCGGTCCGCCAGACAGCACAATTTGCGTCATCGGAAGGTGTTCCCGTTTACCTTTATCACTGGGCGCTACCTAGGACGGTCGTCGGTCGAGCAAACCATGCCGATAATATGTACTATGAGACCTTTAACAGTGCTATCACGGGAATTTCAGAATCCCAGAAAGAGCTGTCTGGCACACTTCATGCCTACTTGACTAGTTTCATTACAACCGGTGATCCTAACGCCGTGTCTGGTCGATATGGACAAAGACCGGAGTGGAAGCCCTTCCAGCCGGCGGATACACAAGTTTTGATCTTTGGAGAGGGGAATGAGGAGTTGATCGGAGGTAATGTTGCTCCTCCTGCGAAATGTGTCGCAGATGATTGGGCAAGAGAACAGACAGAATTTTGGTGGTCGAAGGTTCCGATTTCCCAGCTTGGTTGATGGATAGAACGAACAGAATGAATTCATGCTTTCTCGTGCGTCTTTTTACATACCTGTAAATGTCTGTTTAGAATGACCAGCCGCGAACTATGACGTCGTTCATATATTTTCTTCTGAACTAGAAAGTCTATGAAAACTCATGTGCAATATTACTATACAAAATGCTTGTACTTCAATTCTTGGGATATTTACAGCCTAATTCCAAATAAAAAAAAGGCACTAAATGGCTTATGCTGGCACGCGTGGGCCAACACTTCTCCAGAACTCACAGCGCTCACCACGGCCACCTTCCCACTTCGACGCATCTGCCAGGCTGAACTCATTCGTGACGCCAGGTCCTTCCCGAATCCAGTAAGAGAGGTTATCAGTAACTTTCTCGTAGACCGTTGTTCCACCCGTGGTGTTCAAATTCATCAACACGGGAGAGTTGCTATTCCACCTTGGCCAGGAGATATCTCCGTTCGCACTCTCAGGTACGGTAGAATTGTCTGCACCACCCTTTGCATCGACGATGGATATTATCGGGGTGTCATTGATGATGAAATTGCCCCAAATCTTCTGGAATGCATGGATCAAACCGGGAGTGGGCGTAGTCGCCCCAACAGAGAAGTATGCGGACAGATCTGCCCCATGGTACCCAGGGGTCACAGAGTATTGATATTTCCAGCTCTCCGTGGTATTTTTTCCAGCAAAAGCATCCGCAAGCCAGTATGAGGGGCAGTCGAAGGCTGATTCGGCGTATATGTCGAAGACTGTCTGCTGAAGACCGGTTGCCATTTCCGATTGGTTCAGAGCATTCTGGCCATGGTCGCCTAGTGTATCGTATCGGGGAGCAGTGTCTTGGGGAGAGCTGTTTCGGAAACCGTAGATATCCAGCAGGCGGGAATAGTCACTGCGGGAGAACAAAGGGAAAGTAGACTTGACATAGCTCAGGAAGCTAGCAGTGGTGTTCACAAATGGCGGGCTAAGCGGGACACCTTCATTGGCATTGTTCTGGAGGACTTAGCATAAACAAACCTACGTGTTGGTATGATCAATGGACTTACCCCAGATAGAACGCGCTTGCCGCTCACTTTCTTCGTGTATAATTGCTTGGATGGAAGCTCCTGGATGAAATCGCCATCTACCACAGGCAGGAAGGCCCAGGTACCCCATGCTCCTGAAATGGAGACATTTGCACTGGCGTATTGCAAAGTATCGGTGTCAGCATTGACAAGGCAGTCGAATACGGCTGCCTCGGATACATTGCCACCATTGTAACACCCTGCTCGTGCGGCAAAATCCTGATAGTGACCTGTCGGCACTTTACCATCGTACTGGTGCAAGTCAGTGGTATAAGGGCTGGCGGCAATAACCTATGCAAGTTAGCCAGACTGTCTCAGATTTCATAGCGCTGTAACTTTACATTATTGAATAAGTGGTCCTCGCGACCACCATAAGCAATTGATTGTAGCAGCACCGAGCCTGCTCCAGAAGACTCGCCAGCGATCGTGACGCGGGAGGCATTACCGCCGAACTTTTCGATATTCTCCTGGACCCATTCGAGGGCGAAACGCATATCAAGCAGGCCTGCATTGGCCTTGCCATACTTGTGCACTCCTTCCGAGGACAAAAAGCCAAAGGCACCCAGTCTGTACTGAATCATGACTGCAATAAACCCGTTCTCGTTTGTGGCGATCCATTCACTGGGGTCGTATTCGGCCCCGAAAAGCCCATATCCACCACCATCTATGAAGGCTTAGAATATGTTCTTTCGGTCAAATCTTTTTTATTTTGACTTGTGCGTAGACTTACGAATCCAAAGGAGAACAGGGAGATCTTTGGCTCCGGGCGGAGCATACAAATTCAAGAACAAACAGTCCTCATTGCCCAGGGCTGAACCGAAGCCATACAATTCTGGAAGCTGTGCAGCACCGGACTGTGGGCAGAGTGGAGGCTGTTCAGTGGCAGATTGAATGGAAGTCTTGTTCACTGCAGGGGACTGAGGCGGTTGCCATCGCAGCTTTCCAACAGGAGGGGCTGCATATCGAATCCTTCAGACAATAAGTAAATATAAAAAAACACGCTCGTTAAGCCTAATACGGTATGTTCTTACCCCTTGAAGACATTGAGGTCGTAGGTGTTGTCATAGTAACCCTGGTAGGTGGCGTAGTCTAAATCAACCACTGGGCTCGAGGTTTGAACCGGAGTAGCCAAACCAGCCGGGGCAGTGGTGAGAGCCAAAAAAACAAGGCTGCTTATTCCGGCAGCGAAACCCATATCTGAATCTCCACCGTTGGAATCGGATGATTGGAGAGGAAAAGAGACGGGACGGGTGGTATTTTTATGAGACGATAGTGATTGGTGAATACGAGCTTCTTATGTACACCTGCAGGACTGACAGCCCTAAGCGACCTCGGGAGTCCACGGGCCATGTAACATTCCTGAGAGCGAGCGGATCAGCCCGAATGTCCCGTTGTTTATTGACTCCACTATTTAAAGGGGTATATAATATACTATGCGTGTCCTGAATGGTTGTGTTGTTAGTGTCGAGCTTAGCATATCATCCAGGCCGCTACTAAGCGATTGCAAACACTCTGATTGCTCCATCCGTATCCACAAGCAATATACAATGTTCAAATGTGCAGAACACGGGAGCAGCAATGGGGCAATGGGGGCCAAAATAAGGAGTAACCCCTAAGTAATAGACGTAAACTAATATATCGCTCAACGGTCGGAGTTTTTTTAGAATCCTTCACTCTCCCCGTAATGGCGGAGGAAGTCGATTTGAGCGCGTCGCGGGTCACCACCGTGACTATATGCTATTCGGTTCCCATTCCATTCATGATTTTGTTTACTGGGCTCCGGCTTTTCGTGGTACTGCGACCTTCATCCAAAGATCCGTTGAGCTTTGATGATTATATGATTACTTTTTCCACGGTCTGAACCAACTTTTCCTTCCGGATCTTGCTGTTCTTGGGATATCCAATTTTCTAATACTGCTGTAGGCAATATCCATTGGACTCTGTATAAGTGGCTTGGTGTATGGTAGGTTCTTATGCCAAGATATATATTGGATTCTTGCAAGGGTAAGGCTGACCCAGATTGAACTTTATTATGTATAGGTCCACCCTACGGCTTTGGGAGACATCAAGCGACGCTCAGTACCCATGAAGTCCAAGGTTTCTTGCGGGTGATTTCAACAGATTCATTATATCAATTTACATACTGAACATTCCGAATAGGGCGACTATATCTTCAGCCATTTCTACGATTGGGCCATTGCAAGCATTAAGCTTTCAATTCTTGGGCTTTACTATCGCATTTTTAGCACGGTCGTTTTTCGGCGAGTTATCATTGGCACCGCAGTCTTTATTTTTTGCTGGCTCGCAGCGATGGAGATCGGCCTAGGGCTACAGTGTATCCCCATTGAGAGAAGTTGGGATTCGGATGTTAAGGGGACCTGTATAAATCTGGTGGCCTTCTCCTACTTCACCAACATCACGAACCTGGTCAGCGACATATGGGTCTTTCTTCTTCCCCTACCGATTATCTTCGGACTGCACGTTAATCGAAAGCGAAAATTGGAGATCGCTGGTGTTTTTGCCATTGGTCTATTGTAAGTTATGCTCTACGTCGACTGGAATTCTTCTGACCTGTTTAGCACCTGCGGCGTTACTCTTGCTCGCTTAACCGTTGTGGTCTCACAAGGGTCGTCGGACTTCACTTGTACGTCAAAAAATATCCGATTCAGTATCCACAGCGCTAATAACAGGATTAGGGGCTGGTGTTCCGCTCGGAATCCTGTCTATATACGAAGTACTTTGTGGAATCGCCTGCGCGAATCTCCCCTTTCTTTACAAACTAGCAATCGGGCCTTTCAAGAAGTCTGCCTCTTACCACTCACGTATCGGAGAGTCAGAGTCCGGAGCAGAGTATAGAGCTAGGCAAAATAGCTCACGGAGGCATACAAAAACACTGAGTATGCACAGTGAAGGGAGGATGCTCTCACGGAATGGGAATGATTCGACAACATTGATTGAGACACGATCCAATCAAAATCCCGAGATAGAACTCTCAATAGTGGAACGATCGTATTCCATGTCTCGATCAGATAGCCAAGAAATATTACGGAAATAACCATCAATTGATAAATGCACCCAAAATGTTGGAAACAGGCGAAATTTATTTTAGATTCGATGAGAGGGGAAAAAAGTATAAAAAAAGATATTCGACAGCACAGGGATTTGAACCCTGGATCTCGAAAGAACTAGATTTCTCAAATTAGGATTCAAGTCTAGCGCCTTAACCACTCGGCCATACTGTCGGAACTTATTGTGAAAACCCGTCCGACTTGTTCCTTTAACCAAACATGTGCCTACTAGTATTTTGAAGTAATATTTTCCGTATTATTTTCAGTATTTTATCCAAGTCAATGGTATTTTCTCAACATATCACCTTCATCTCGGTGCTTTCCAATAAGATCGAATCGTTATTTGTCCATAAAAAATGTTCTTTCTGATTCTTACATTGATCTCCTTTTCTTATTTACAAATATTAACCTCGTTCAACTTTGCCAAAATTGGCTTTTTTAAGCTTTCTTGTCATCCATGGATAGAGTGTGGGTCTTTGTTGTCTTGCTGCCCTCGTCTGCGACCCCACACATTTCCTTTCTTTGTACAAACAATACTCTGTACCTCCGTGCTGCGTGTCTCAACTGCGTCTTTCTGGCCCTGCCGTCTCGTCAATATTTTGTCCAATACGTGCCTGGTTAGGTATCTCGGGACCTAGAAATTCCGTGCCGATCACGGGGTTCCGAATCAACACAGCACCAACTTCGAGTTGCAACCTCCAAACCTTGAGCCATGTCAACTGCAACTAGACGAGGAGTGTTTTCTTCCGCTATTTCAGGCTACACCCGATTCATTTTGCGCGCCCGGATTTTGAATTCCCCCAGAATGCACCGATCTTGGTCCGCAAATCCACGGGTTTCTTTTACCACCTCAATTCAAGGTCAGGTATGGTCTCCACGGGTTTTCAGTCTGGTAAGCCTAGCTTATGCTGAATGAGATTATCTATTCAGACCAGAGTTGGGACAAGCCGGATTTCCACCTTTATACCGCCGGTCGCTGGCTGTTCAACGAGACTCAACAGCTAGCTGAAAGACGAGTGAACTTCAATTTTGATGAACTCGTGAGAGTTGCCATGGAGAGCCTGGATTTCGGCCCCCATGTCTGCACGGAAGTGGAAAAGCTCCCCGACGGAAACTACAGCAAAGCATTCCTTCTCACCACGGAAAGCGGACATCAACTCGTAGCCAAGGTTCCAAATCCGAATGCTGGTCCCCTTTTACACAACTGCGAGTGAAGTCGCCACCATGGAATTTATAAGTTCAATGACCCCATTGTTATGGTCCTTCATAATAACTCTGGGCAGGCAAGTACCATCGCAGGAATTCCAGTGCCCAAAGTTCATGCCTGGAATAATAGCGCAGAGGATAATGCTGTCGGTGCTGAGTATATTATCATGGAGAAGGCAAATGGTGTCTTATTAAGCTCACAGTGGGCAACAATGAGCACCGACCAGAAGCGGGAGTTGATCCAAAGTATCATTGACTTTGAACGCTCCCTTATTGCTCATTCTTTTGACATGATTGGTAGCATTTACTATGAAAATGATCTAGCGAACTCCAAAGATGGATGTTTGTCAACTTCATTCCCTAGATTTGCGATCGGGCCGATAGCGGATCGCAGGTTCCTGGAAGATGGACGAAGTGCGATCGAGTCTTATAAAGGACCATGTGCGTTTTTCTACCTCTTGACCACCAATGCCTTTGTCTGACGTGGGTTCAGCTAGGGAATACAATGATTGACTATGTCCATTCGATGGCGAGTCGCGAAGAAGATTGTAGCAAACATCTTAGCCGATTCCCCAGACCAGAGGGGATTTTTGGCGCGCCCGGGTCATATCAGCCTACGGCTCAAGCAAAACTCGATGTTATCTCTGATTTCCGCAAAATTGCATCCTTTATAGTTCCGAAGGACGCGACCGTGACAAAGCCTGTTCTCTGGCATACCGACTTCCATGCGGATAATATCTTTGTGGATCCAAATAATCCTTCCAAGATTTTTGCTGTCATTGACTGGCAAAGCGTACATGTCGCTCCATTGTGCCAACAAGTGATTACACCCGCATTCCTGAATTTCAATTGGCCAAAGCCAGATGAAGGTCTTTGTCTTCCTTCTCTTCCAGACAATTTCCAGACATTGAGCGCCGAAGAGAAAGCCAAAGCCAAAGTCTTACGAACTCAACAATTATTATACAAACTTTATGAAATTCAATCTGGACGACAGAATAAGGATGTTTTCAGAGCGCTTCAGTATCCCAACGTACTTGGATCCCAGATTATTTCACTCGTATCCCAGGTTTTGAACGACGGTGAAACAATTATCAAGGGCCAATTGTTTCAACTTGTTGAACAGTGGAGAACAACAGTTGGCGCAGATGGAACACCGTGCCTGATCACCTTTACTGATGATGATATCGTGCAGCAAAATTTAGATCAAGAGAAGTGGGAAGAAGGTGTGCAGCTCATGGAAGATGTTCTGGAAGCTCTTGGCGGTGCAGAGAATGGTTGGCAAGGCTGGGTAAGTCATGATGAGTATGCGCAGGCGAAGGTCAAATTGGAGATGGTGAAGGAACAGTTCTTGGATCATATGGCCCATAATCCAGCGGAGAGAGAAGCACGGTGCTGGGCATGGCCGTTTCAAGGTCAAGATACTCACACTGAACATGATTGGCTAAGAGAGGAGACAAGCAATAACCACTTGAGACTTTGATAAATGCCAAGGATGGCCCCCAAGTTGACTTCAATATAGGAAAAGTGCTCAAACCAGCTCACTCCAAATGGAATCAAAAGCGTTTATTATATTGCACAATTACGCTCTTATTCACTCCATGTTAAAGCTACAGAATTTAAAAATGCGGTCTCTTTGTTTTCCTGCTTTCTTTCATCGCCTTTCCACCTCTACTACCTTTCTTCTTGAACGCGTCTTTACATTCGGATTATTCCAATTTTTTGTGCGCCAGTAGTGTGCTTCCCAACTACTATGGCCGACGTGAGGGATTCTGTTGAAGGAAACGTCTCTGGAGACGAGGAAGACGTGGACAAGCAAGGACTTCGGGCCACAGAACACGATCTGGAGCAAGCCAATTCCAAGGCTGTCTTTAACTCGAAGAAAGCACTGTGGGGATTCTTGGTGCTATGCTATTCGGTACGCGGGGACTGATGCTTACTTTGGATTGACATCTGCTTGAGCGAGATGACATGCTGATAATGCATTCGCCCAATTCCAGACTGGCCCAACATCTTCCATGGTTTCGAATTATGTGACTGCGGCCATCCTCTCGGCAGCCAATCTCCTGGGCCACCAGGCCGGATCTAACAAGCCATGCTCACGCCGTGGAACAAACATCAGTTGTCTAGTGGAATTCGGTGGAGGGGAGATCGACTATAACAGCTATACGTGCGTATCGTGGCATTGAGGTGCGGGGTGACTTTGCTGACGAGAAGAAAGATTGTACCTTCGAGCAATCAGTCGCGCCATGGAAGGCATAGTATCGATTCTCACGGCCGGCTTAGCAGACTATGCCAGTGAGTAGAACGAATTGACACCTTTGGATTTTTAGCGCTGATCCAGATACCTCCAGACTACCGCAAGACGATGATGATGACCTCGATATTTCTGTTCGGGGCATTAGCCTTGCCTTTTGCAGGACTCACGGGTCAGAGTTATAGCCATCTGACCGCCTTGTCTGTGCTATATTGCTTCTTAACGACGGTCGGAGGTGTCTATACTGTGATCGAGGGGTCATACATTCCGATCTTTATGAGATCGACGGGCTGGTTCCGTGACTCCCTTGTAGCGGCAAGCCAGGACGAGAGAGCGACGTGGAACAAAGGAGTCTCTATTAGTGTTCTGGCTTTGGTTTCGGGCAATGTCGGTGGCTTGACTGCCCTGATCATCGGTGTCATTCTTGTGTATGGGCGGGGGTCTTATGTGCAGGTTGGGTACTTCAACTACGTTCTAGCCATCACAATTGCGGGCTGCATCACAAGTAGGTTGTACTTAGTTCTAGATCATGAATCCCCGATAGCTGACTTTCCCAGTCCTGTTTGCATTCCTTGGCCAGTACCTTCTCCCATCAGTGCCCGGCAAAAAGCTCGACCGCACGAAAAACAAATTCCCTCTGCTGATCGCCTTCAAAAACTGGCTGAAACTGCTGAAAAGCGTAACGCACTATTCGGAAGCATTCAAATTCTGCATCGGTTGGGTTCTATGGAACACCGGCTATTCCAACCACCTGCAGCTCATCGGCGCGCTCTTCCTCCAGGTCACTGGATTTTCCCGCAGTTCCGGGGTATACTCGGTCTGGTCCTTTACCAGCGTGATCTTTGCCTGCACAGGCAGCTTGAGCTTCATGTATCTCCACCGGCGACTTCGGCTCCCCGTGAAATCATACGCATATGCCTTCCTCGTGGTGAATATCCTATGTGTGCTGTGGGGCTGCATCGGAATCAGCAACCATGTTACAATTGGTTATAAGCACCAGGTCGAGTTCTGGGTTGAGCAGGTCCTGTTCATGTCGACTAGTAGTGCGCTTCGGGCGTATAACCGTGCAATCTACTCTTCCATGATTCCGGAGAACTCGGAAGCGCAGTTTTTCGGTCTGGAGATCACTTTGGATCTCGCGACTGGGTGGGTCAATCCTCTGGTAATGGGTATTATCCAGGATCGGACGCATAATTTGCGCTTTCCGATGATTCCGAACTTGTTTCTGATGCTTGTTGGACTTGGTCTTTACTCGCAGGTGGATATTGGCAAGGGGATCCAGCAGGCAAAGGTACCGTTGGTACAGTAGGTTGACAGAGAGACTGGAGTTGGGAGGTTTGATCATCGTTGGATAGAAAACAGGAAAAGGCGATCGTTCTTGCGGTCGGATACACCGCCGATCTGTGGTGAAGGCGTCGCTTATGCTGAAAGCTTTGGTGTCTTGTCGGGGCTTTTCTTGTATTGCCTGGTTCTCAATATATATTTGTCGTGACCAACAGTATGAATGACCCCTGGATTTCTTTTCCGACCACAAATAACCGCAGCTTTAGATACTCCTGTTTTAATTAGTTCTTCGTCGTCGCTTGTGTTGTTATTTACGGTAGAAAGTCCTTTTAGACTGCCGACAAGTATCACATCGCATACTAAAGACATATAGTTGCTACATGGAAATTGAAAAGACTACGGTATATTCTCTTCAAGTGATCAGTTATCATAAGCAGCACTAATGGTGTAGTGGTAACATATAACACTTCCAAGTAATCATCCGACTACTAAGTTATGTTGTGCCGGGGGTTCGATTCCCTCTTAGTGCATTTTTTGATATTTTTTTCTTTTTCATCGTGACATGAGTTAGAATTCTATTGTCTCTCTCTGTACAACGAAAGAGAAGAGTTAATGGATTAATGTTCTGATCTCAATAACTATACATTCTGCACAATGAGTTCACATGTAACCAGCCCTATGAACCACCTCCACCACGTAAAACAATCATCTACACCAGGTCCAAGACCAAATAGATAAGTGATCTTTAGTTGTTACACGTGTATATATACAGAGTATGAAGTACAGCGCACATAAAGTTGACAATGACATTCCATATACCCATAAAGCAAAAAATAAATCGAACAAAAACCAATGCAAGACCACCCCCATGTTCGCCGCGAAACGCCGTGCCATGATGTATTGGGGACAAAAAATCGCGCATCAACTGTAGGGGGTACTCGCGAGAAGGGGAATCAGTCGAAGAAGATAGACAAATGAGATGCGAGAGATGACAAAAGAGACAAAAAAAAAATACGACAAATGAGATGGCAGACAAAAGAAACCCTCAACCAGCCCAGCTCCCATTTTGTCCAGCAGAGTAGAGACAAGCTAATCCGAGAAAGCTGTCATGAGATGGGATATGATAGATGCGGTTGAAGCAAAATCAGAAAACAATGCGGATGGGATATTCGGGCACATAAACATAGGAACAAAGGAAACAAAAAGGGAAACAACACCGGGAAATGAGATCGTGTACTTTTTCATGTCCAGCATCTGGGAAACAAAATAAAACGAGACGTGGGAAAGGAGATTCAACCAAGGAAATGAATTGTCCATGGGGTTATTTTCTCGGTGCTCGCACCGGAAATGACCAAATGGCGCAATGATTAGTCCCTGTAGACCCTGCTACAGAGGATTCGAGTATGATTATACAGTACAAGGAGGAACTCCAGCCTCCGATTGGTATCAGTATCAGGTTGTAGATGGGATGGGAGCAGTGCCAGTATTAGCCGTTGACCATGTCATCCAGGGCCATCTTGCGCCGTTTGATCGGTCTGTTGTCGTGACCTTCAGCTTCCATGCTGGGCGGTTCGGCCCTCGTCAGAGAAGGCGAGTGGCCAGATGCTATCTGGATCGGGGATGGCAGTTCCACTGGGCCAAGGTGGCGGGGTATGGGATCCATAGTTGCGCTTGTTATGGAGGAGGAGCGTTGGTGGGGGAGAGGGTAGTTGAAGACCGGGCCTGCAGATCTGTGGAGAGGTAGAGCGCGGGGGTCGTAAAGGGGTTCTTCCCGGCCTGGGAGAGTCCAATTCATTGGGTACGGGTCGCTCAGGCGATGGACATGGTGAGGAGGGGGTGGCCCAGCTGTGGCTTGGTGGATTGGGGGGAGCCGGACTGGAGATTCGACGGTATATGGATCCCGAGGTGATAGTGATACCCGTGAATCATTTGCCGTTGGGCGGATAGGATTGCCAGGCGTCTCAGTATACGGTAGAAAGGGCATACCGACTGGTGGTGGCTGATGTTGAGGAGGTGATGTTGGTGGTGGTAATGCTGGGACACCGTATGTTTGGAATCGTCGATCCATGCCACCGGACATAGTGTTGACTTTTAAGACCGGATTCAACCCTGCCATTGGCATGTACGGCGAAGGTACATGTGAGTGCGTCGGTACCGAATAAGATGGCGGTCCAGATGAAGAGAATGGGCGTCGAATCATACCCGGGACATTGGGCGAGAGGTCCATAGGCCGCGTGAGAGGAAATACCGAAGCGGACCACCGGTGTGGTGTCCGTATTCCCGAGCTGACATCTCCCAATCCCTGTAGATCCGTCATGGGACGCAGTTCTCGTGAAGAAGTGGCCCGATGCATAGCGGTCCGCCGCGGGGGCATAGTTGGCTGAGCCTCCGCTGGGACAGCCGGGTTATCCAAGTGCGTGGTGTATGACTTGACAGATGAATCCTCTGCTTTTAATGGGGGCCGTCCTCGCTTTTTGTGCGTGACGTCCACACATGTTGACTTTCCTGCTCGTTAGTTACAATTCCACTATTCATGAGAATTCATTAACACTTACAGCCTTTCCAGCAAGCACACATCTTCGACATGGACGGGCTGGGTCACATCCAAGATGCTTTTTCTTGCAATTGACACAAGCTGATGCCACATGGGCCTTTGTACGTCGGGTTGATTTCTGTGCTAGTGATCGGCCTGTGGGATGCGTTGGGTCCAATGTTGGTGCTCCTGCTAGCAATGGAGATCCAGCATACACCGGTCCCTGTTCGTTATATCCCCGTGACAGTGGCTCATTAACCGGTATTTGCGATAGCTCCAATACCGGCACAGCAGACCGCTCCGTGAATCCGAGAGAGGGAGGATATCCCCGAGGGATCTCTGCGGATAGCTCCGAGGGCTTTGCTGGAGGAGATCCAGACATAGATTGGTGGGGTATCGGAGCCCGGGGGCTGCACCCTCGAGCATTGGGGGTCCAAGATCGATTCAACGGCAGCCGCTCTGGGCCCTGGTTGAATCGGGGCTGTCCGAATTGGGATATAGTGAGGCTCGGGGGGTGAAGCACGAGTGAGTGCATCGGATGTCAAGCAGGAAAGGGAAAGGGCCCACGGGGCAAATGCTTCTTTCGGCCTTTTTTTGTTTTTTCCTTTTTTTTTTCGTTCTCGGTCTTGCTGGATTCCGAAGTATATCTTGGTTCAATTTCACAAGCAGAGACCGCTGAATTGCGCGGTTTTTTGAGACAGCATGTCTGAGTAATAGATCTGGGAGTAACTAGCGACACAGAAAGCGCGGTGTAGGGAGAATAGAAAAGAGCCAGAGGTCATCAAAGTTCTTCCAATGCCGTCCGAGGACCCAAGCTTATAATCAAGGTGGATCGATCCGCTATTGGAGGAGTCAGAAAATAGACTGCATCGATGGGGAGATTTCTAGATGACAGCAGGGCACAGGGTTACTCATACGCATGTCTTCCCTAGGGCGACTTATTGCAGGATGGCGGTCGATCATTGAGCTAGGATCAAGGTGCAGTAAAATGTCAAAGTCCCCACCCCACGCCTTACCTCTTGATCACACGTTCCACGTTCCTCGAGGGTATTTTTGTGTAAAGGGGAGAAAACGGTGAAGTATATGACCGAAAGTGGTGCGAGGTCGCCCAAAGTAGGGGAATAAAAAGTACACCCCCACTTGAATGTTCCCAAGGCGTTCGATAGTCCAAACGAACCGCTGAACTATCACACAATAAGCAGTGTAGGAAAGAGTAGTGGTCCATGCAGGCGCTAGTAGCTGATAGATTTGATCTTCGTCATGGTAGATCATTGGAGAATAATGGGTTTAACGGGTGCCCCTCCTTAGACTCCTTTCTTTGGAGGCCTGGTATTAGATACATTCGATACTGAAAAAAGAGAATAAAGAATATATTGCCTCCTCTCCCTCCTCCCCCCTCCCCCCTCCCCCTCTCCTATCTAGGACATCGAGGGCGTGCATTTGACAGAACGCTGTCAGTGCCACCCCCCCGAGCGGGTAAAGGGAAGGGATTGAATGCCACTAGTCAACGGATAGTTCTTTTCCCTTTTCTTTTTCTCGTTTTTTCCATTTTTCCGTTCGGAGAGGGGTGACAGTGTATACCAATCAGGGCTAAGCAAGGTGGAAGATTGACGGATCGACGTCGGTGCCCGCAGCCATTGCCAATAGTCGACCTCGGCGTGGACTATGCGCATTCCGAGTACGGGAGGACATGTACTCCGTATTTTACGCATTTAATTCTATTCTAGATTGGATCTAAGATAGCAGGAGAGTCGGATAGGAGGATAGTAACCTCATTGAATTGTCGCTGGTGGTCTTAGGGTTGCAATCGGGAGGTCACCTTGACCTTCACGTCTCCTTTGGGCAATTATAAGGTCAATCGGAGTTCTTTCGCCTTAGACTTTGTGTCTTGAATATTTAATTTCCATTGAAATGTCCTATTCCTTCTTCCCCAGCGAATTAATCGCCCTAAATCTAGCCAATCTGAATATTTCGACTCCACAACATCGCCCGGCAGTTCGATGATCTCCCACTTAAACCCTTTAAATGCTCCTAAAACCCTTGAACCCTTTTAAACATTGAGAAATCCCCTTATTCTCCGATCCACCCGGGTAAATCATTGTATGACCGAGTCGATCCTTTTATGCTCCGTCTAGGGGTTACTGTTACAATCGCAGATCAGAGATGGAAAGGTCTCACAGGGTTTTGACCGTGGTCGAGTCGGACAAGTGCAGGCACCGTAAATGTCCCCTTTTTTCTCCTTTTTCTCCTTTTTCTTTTTGGGGATTTTCTGGAAATAGGTTGCGGGTGTGATACCGAGTCTCGCAATAATCAGTTTCCTGTGATACCCACACTTGGGGGGCGTTTTTCTCGCTTTTTTTTCTCTGCGCTTAGACTCGGACTTTGTATTGGAACCGGTGGAGTGATATTGAGGAAAGAGAAGAAGCAGAGGGTCCTGAACGGTCTTAAATGGTCCCAAGGGCTCCAAGGAGAATATCTGGAAAAGGACTCGGTGTCTTTATTTTTCCGGGGACCCCAACAGCGATGTGGCTGCAGCCGGGCGATCACATTCGATCACATTGTCCTTTGCCTCTGCTCTGCGCGTGCGCATGCCGATCACCATCCCTGGCTTTGGAACTGCAGGATTCCTTGGATCTCACGTCATGGGGAGGGAGTGTGTGGTATATCCAGAGCCTAATAGCTGATCTCCTCCTATTCGTTGTATCGATATAACCACTCTATGGTGTTATAATATAGCATAGAGTGGTGTGATCATATCACTAGTTCATGTATATATAAACTCGGCAGGATCCGATCAAGGGAAAAGGGGTGTGGAACATGCGGCACGCGGAGCAGCAAGGGGTCTGTCACCCCGTTCATGCAGGATATTAAATAGTCTAGACAATTATACGGTTGGTTGCTTTGTGAATCTTTTCCACTGCCAATCATAAGCCTATTCGTCTGTTATTTGTGCAGTTTATACTAACTCCGACCTCTCGCGGTATAGTGTTGTAGCCGCCGACGTGCCCAAAGTCCAGACCAGACTATGTTATAGTCCAGACTCTATTAATTTGACGAGTGGAGCTCATCACTAGCACTATTTAATTCTTTTAATCTAAATTCCTGATCAGATCAAAAATCGCCGAATCATTGGTTTTTAGCGTTAAATAGTTCCGGTTAGTACGGAGATTATTCGGAACTTGGGAGAATTCTCCTAGTGCAACGTCTAAAACTTGAGACAATGTCTATAGTTTCTATAGTTCCATATACTTAATTAACTTGACGTGCCGCCAATCCAGATCTGGGCATCGATGGACATCCTCTAACCTCTTAACGGTGACCAAAGCGTGTGATTGGGCTGATATCACATCTTCCTCCATCACGGCCCATATTGATCTACAGTTTAAACGTGATGGCCTGGCCCAGTGCCAATGTTGAGTCAGTCACATTTCCAATCGGTCTCCGGATACTCCGTTGGAGTCTAGGCTACACAGCTTCTTCCATGTGCTGAGCTGGGCGGTTCCTAAATCTCGGATTCATACTTTGGACATCGGAATAAAATCTCCGAAACACAAATTGTGGTATCTCTGCAATATAGACATCTATTCTACAGTAAACTTTTTCCTCCGTAATCCCCTAGCGTCTCTTCGACGGCCGGGCATTCTTATCGCGACGCTGTTGCACCTGCTTCCGCGCCTTGCGAATATCCTCCGTAGACCGAAGTTCGCTCTTTCCGCCGTATGCCGCTCCACCAAGCTTATCGTGCTGGCGTTCGCGCGCCGCGTCGTTCTTCTTCTTCATCTTGTCGTAGTCGCCACGCAGAGGATCGGCCCGCTTAGGCGCCCGGTCCTGGCTGTGTCGGAATCGGCCACTGCTCATGCGCGAGTTGACGTTGTTCATATTAGGCGTCTCGGCCTCGCCAACACGAGGCATCCGATCAACGCGCTTGCCCTTCTTCCAGGCCTGGAAGCGACCGCTGCGGAAACTGGCGGCGATCTTGGCTCCACTCTCGCCGCGCACGAGTCGGCTGCCCTTGGAACCGTCCTCGTCGTTCTGGCGGGCAACGTACTTCTTGTGTCGCTTGTCCCAGCGCATGATGGAACGCGCTTCGCCGAACCCGCGCTTGCCTTCGTCGCCGTTGAGGTCCATAGTCGCGTTGCGGGAGTCGCTGGCAAAGTTCGAGTTGGTACCCGAGTGCACACCGTAAGCCTTATCTTCGGCCATGTCGTTGTGCTGAGGTGTGTAGCCCATGAAATAATCCGGGTTCTGGAATGCTGCTGCTGCGTCTTTTTTCTCGCCTTGCTTGGACTTGGAGTTGTACGCAGAGAAAGTGACTTCGAGGTCATCGTCGGATGCGTCTGACATGTTCTCGCCGGCATGCTCGGGGATGTCCTCGTCCTCCACTTGACCATCCGGGCCGGGAGTGGGCATTCCAAGCGCTGCCAACTCGGCCTCTGCTTTGGCATCCGCTCGCTTTCTCTTGTTCTCGACACTAGTGCGGAGTCGGCGAATGGTGTCAACGGCCTCGTTGTCAGCCACTTTGCCGCCTCGTCGGTTGTTCGCCTCGAAAATCGTTTCATGTGGGCGGTAACCACCAATGCGGGCCAGCATACTCTCTCGCTCTACTTCCCTCTCAGTGGTTGCATCATTGAAGAGCGGGTGAATCTCAGCCCAGTGATCAGAAGACACAACATCCTTGGCCCGTTTGGCACTCTCGGCAGAAGCCGAGTTGCGGGTGCGCAGATATAGCTTCTCTCCCTTTTGAGACACTCCCTTTTGTCCGTAAATATCTATATCATCGTCGAGCACCTTCTGTACCCATTCGCAAGTGCGAGAGATTGCCTCTCTCGGCAGCGTTCCCACGACAACATCCTCTGCAAAGTTGACTTCAGTGCCATACTGACGACCGAGGACCAACCTGCGTCCCAAGAACAGCTGAAGATCCAGAAGATACGGGGCATCTTTGTCGCGAACAAGACTGTAACTCCAACCCTTTTGGCCTGCACGAGCCGTACGACCGACACGGTGAATGAAGATCTTGGGCTGTGAGGGGAAATCGTAGTTGATGACGTTGGCAAGAACAGGAATATCAATACCTCTGGCGGCCACATCGGTGACGACTAGGATATTTGAGATTCCGGATCGGAAGTTTTGAACATGGTGATTACGAGCAGTCTGATCCAGGGAACCGTAGGCGTAAGAGGTGGCAAACCCTGCCTCGGTGAGAAGAGAGTAGAGGTAGTCGACGTGATGCTTGGTTGCAGCGAACACAATAGTTGAGTGCTCGGTAGGTGACTCCTTGAAGCCGCTCGGGAGACGGACATCCGATCTCTTGCGCTTCCTTGTCGGGTTCTCGGCTTCTTGGCGTAATCTCCCGCCAATATATGTCTCACCGGTAGGCATCTTGATAATGTTATGCAAAATATGTAGTAGGGCACCTTCTTTATCTGCCGACTTCACAGCAAAGAAGGCATTTTGTAGATCCGGAGAAACTTTGTTCTCGATGTCCAGACGAATTAGACTTGGCTCTTGGAGACCAGCACGAGCAAATTCGACAAGCGACTTGGGCAATGTAGCGGAAAAGAGAAGAGTCTGGCGGTTCGTGGGCAGGCCGTGCAAAATCTCGGTCAACTGTGCGGCGAAACCCATTTCGAACAGTCTGTCGGCTTCATCGAAGACAACATACTTGATGCTAGAAAGATCCATGTCCATTTCGACCTTCAAGTGCAGGAATCGACCGGGTGTTGCGATGATGATATCGGGGTTGTTGGCCATCATGCCGAACTGATCTTCCAGACTGTCACCACCAATGAGAAGCACCGATGTCAAATTTGTTCCCTTGCCCATCTCCTTAACGACCTTCATGGTTTGTAGAGCCAATTCACGGGATGGGGACATGATAAGAGCACGTGCACCGAACGAGGTGCTATGGCTCTTCAACTTCTCAATCATAGGAATAACAAACGAGGCAGTCTTTCCGGAACCAGTTCGAGCCATACCAACCACATCCTTGTCGTCCATGATCATGGGAATAGTCTTTCGCTGAATCGGGGTAGGCACGGAAAATCCTTTGCGGGTGATCGCTTTCAGCAGACTCATGCTGAGACCCATTGCCTGGAAACCACCACCCTTCTTCACCGTACGGCCCTTGAGATTTGCGCCCTTTCGGTTGGCGGACGCCTGCGAGTTCGCAATGAAAGCCGCATCGCCGTCGTCTTCGTTTAAAAAGTCAAGATCTTGGTGGGTATCGGGCTTCTGGGGCTTTTTCTTGGGGGGTGGCTTTGCGCCGTCATCGGAATCGCTGTCATGTTCAAAAAGGGATTTTGTGATGTCGAACTCGACCTCCGATTCTGCGGGTGAGGCAGCACGGGGAGCCATTGTTGCGGTATGCTGTGAAGTCTCGACTGATATGGAAATGCAGTGATAAGCGTTAGACCGTTTGGCTCTTCAATGGCCGGGGAATATGAAACACAGAAAGATTGGCAGTGATTAATTAATGTATCACGCGAACAAATCCTCGACTACTCAAACTTCAGACACCTGAAGAAAAGTCGAGTCGCTTATCTCGCTGTCTTTCTGTCGCAAAAAAAAAGTTGAGAGAATCGTAGGCGGTGAATACCGGATCAACCATCGCCCGCGTGCAAACTAAACAAACAGAATTTATACAATTTGCGCTGAATGTGGTCATAGAAACATTGTCTATTTGGAGTTTCAAAGATTTACAGAGACAAGACTGTACTATACATCTAATATGTACCTAATATGTACCTGCATTGTGGTTCGAAATCTCCAGCAGCTACTCGATGTGCAGCCCAGCTGGATGAAGACACATTGGACAGTCCTTTTGAAATTTCAAGATAGTAATCATCAAAAGATAGCATTTTAAGAGTAATCAATCACTACAAAAGTCAATATAGCATCTATAATGTCGAAGTTCAGAGCAGACGATTTTAAGTAGATCCAATTCGAGAGGCGGTCTGAAATGGCAAAACACGATCCCCGCGACGCGTGCGACACGCTCCCAATTAAGTAAAATGGTGTTGAAGAAACAGCTGTACCTTGACCTTTCCCCTTCACAATCTCACATACACCATGGGTATGTACCACTCTAAATCTAAGCTATTACTCTAGCCATATCTAATAATATTGTCAGACGGCAGTTACAACAATTATAGCTCCTCATTCGGCGGGGGTGGAGGATTCATGCCGGGCGAGGCGAACAGTCCCGCGGGAGGCAAGGTATACACATGATCCAGGCCTGTCTTTACAACACCAACTGATATCCAACGCAGACCGGTGACCGAGACAACAAAACCCTTCGACCCGTGACAGCGAAACAAGTCCTCGATGCCTCGCAGCCCTTCCCCGAAGCCCCATTTCAAATCGACGGCGCCGACGTCGCCAATGTCCTCCTCATGGGCCAAATACGCAACATCAGCTCGCAGAGCACAAACGTCACGTACAAGATTGACGACGGCACGGGCGAGGTCGAGGTCAAGAAATGGGTCGACTCAGCCACCGCAGACTCCATGGACACCGACGATGGCAAGGCGCCCGCCGATGGGAAGACCGAGGTCGAGCTCAACGGTCACGCACGGGTCTTTGGTTCCATCAAGTCCTTTGGTAACAAGCGGTACATTGGTGCTCATTCTGTTCGGCCTTTGACGGATATCAATGAGCTGCATACCCATCTGCTCGAGGCCACGGCTGTGCATTTGTTCTTCACTCGCGGCCCGCCTGGTGGTGGTGGTGGTGCTGCTGCTGGCAATGCTGGCGGTGTTGATGCTGTTATGGGTGGTGCGGATGATTACGGTGCTGGGCAGAATAAGGCTCTTGCTTCGATGTCGCTTGTTGCGAAGAAGATTTATAACCTGCTCAAGACGGAGCCTCAGGATGATACGGGCCTACATATGCAGGTCATTGCTTCTAAATTGAACATGCCTGCGTCTGAAGTGGGTAGGGCTGGCGAGGAGTTGCTTGGGGCTGGTGTGATCTTTTCTACTATGGACGAGCAGACGTGGGCTATTCTGGAATACTAGAGATGAGTGGTTGTGTCTTTAAACGTCACATTCAGACTCCAATGATATTATGATTTGTCTTGTATAACACTTGATAGAGTCGAAACATGTAGCAAAATTGACAACAGGCTTGGGTCAAAACAAGATTGGAACATAAATCACTTGAAGCCGCTAATGCAAAACGAGATATAAAGAACATATGCTGGAAGATTTGACCATTTTCGTCATGAACTGCATATCAAGTCGTGTGCATGCTTCTCATATACCAAGGGTCAAGTTAGGTCAACTCATTCCTCTTGATAGCTTCCTCGACCGAGCGATTCCAATTAGCTCGACTGATAAAGGTGGCCTCGATGAGCGAAACAAGGCCCAATGCAAGCGCAACTCCAGTCCACAAGCCCATAACACCCCAACCCAAAGCAAAGGTTGTTCCCATACTAAGCGGCATGGCAATCACATAGTAACAGAAGAGTTGGATATAGCCGCCCACCTCCTGGCGACCCAGACCACGGAGAATACCGTTGCAGTTTGCCGAGAGAGCGTCGAAAAGCTGGAAGGCTGCGCAGAGCGGAAGCACCTGCGCTACAATTTCGACGACTTCGGGATCGGAGCTGAACAACCTAGGGATATAGGACCGCAAAGTCGAGAGAAGGACCATGTTGAACACGCCAACGATGGCTGCTCCGAAGAAGCTCACTTTCGCAGAGGTCTTTGCGGCATCGACCAAGGTAGCCCCGATCAGATTTGCTATCCGCGTGCTACCTGCAATAGATAGGGGGAACGGAATCTGCCATGTAATGCTGGAGATTGTTGCTAGGATGGACTGCGCTGCGAGTGCGGATGTGCCGAGGTAGCTTGATGCCAGCGTCAAAATTTCAAATGCCAGGCACTCTGCCTCGACCATGATCAGCCCTGGGAGGGCGAGACGGATCATTGGGCCCCAGTTCTGGAATGCTCGTCTGGTGAATCCGCACCAACACTCGGATCCCACGAAGAAATAAACATAGATGAACAGGCAAAGCGGGAGGAGATTTTCGGTTATTACGACGGCGATTGGCGCCCCAATGAAGCCCCATTGAAGTTTCTTTTATACAAGTCAGTATTGTCCTCGTAAAAGGCTGGAAAGTACCTACCCAGACGAAGAACCAGTTCATGAACGCATTCAGTGGCGCGCAGAAAATGAGGACATATAGGGAGGCAGAAAACACACCCTGGGCCTGGAGATATCGCTTGCCACTCTCGAAAAGAGCGAATCCCGGGGTGCCCAAGAGAGCAACCTTCAAATACAGACCCGCCATCTGGGCGACCTCCTTCTCTGGCACGATCTTGGCAAGGATATGCTCAGAGAAATACCAGAGAAACATGATCGGAATGGTGATAACCCAAAGGAAATACACCATACGCAGCATCTGCAGGCCCACCAACTTTCTCTTTCCAGAGCCGTAGGCCTGCGCACAGAGGGTATCCAAACTAGTTGACAGACCCGAGTACACCGCATTTCCAGTAATTGTCACAGTCATACTCGCCAGACTGACAGCTCCAAGCTCTTCCTTTCCCAGATGGCCAATGGTAAAGATACTAGCCACAGTCAAAGAATACTGCAGTAAGAAAGTGACCATGAGCGGCAAAGAGTATTTCATAATGACCTTTGCTTCGCGCTGCCATGTCGTCTGGATCAAACCGGCTGCGACGGCCTCTCCCCATTTCCGATCAATCTCTTCCGAGTCCAATCCACTGTCCTCGGCATCGGAAGTCCGCTCTCTAAGTAGAGCAGTGATTTCGCTTGCCGCGTCCGACTCATGATCACTGCTTCTCGAGCGTCGAGAAGCTCCACTTGGCCGTCGAGACCGGGATCCTTGGCCGATAATATTGTTGTCACTCAGTAGCTGCCGTTCCTCTCCGATGACTTGATCGCGCTCGCTTTGGGAAATGGCTTGCTGTTCCCCAGCCCATGGGACCACAGTCGCATGGCTGACAGATGTCACATAACTCGGGCGGCGATATGAACCGGCTAAAGAGCGGGGGTTGGTGCTGGTATAGCTGTCGATCCGGCGGGCTGTTGAAGTGTCGGAATCTTCATCGGTGGGTGTTCGATCCTCCTCGCTGTAGTCTGCGAGGTCTCGGGCAATTGCTGAGGCGGCAATGGGCGAGCTGGATGTGAAGGAACGACCAAATGGGCTTTGATACTCGGCGGAATCCACCGAGCGGATGTTGCGGGCCATGATAAGATGTGAGAGACGAGTCTATGGGTGTTTTACGGCCACCGCATTATTTACAGCCAGATAATTGAGCTATCTCGGGGTGAGACTCTAGATCCTTGGAGCTTTGGAGATATCGAAGGCAAAAAGCCTGCAGAGAAAAAGACGGCCTAAAGCTGGATGCGGAGATGTATTTGTAATACCAGCAATACGACCGGTCCAGGTGCAGACACTCTGTATATCGTGTAATTTACCGAAACAGCCCCCGAGTGATAATGCAGATAACACTTCAGTAAGGGATGTGAGTCAACCACCGGAGCGTGTGATTGGCTGTCACTATCACATACAAGGTTCTTCTTTACTAAATCCAGTGCCCGAAGACGACGCTAAATCATAATCGCTTCTTCCTAAACCCCGCTAACACTTAGTGGGAAGCTCGATGCGGGCAGTGTCGCCGTGATCTCACTTGATATGGCCACCCCCACTATGTTGTACCGGACATGAACTCACGGCCTAGCGGTAAAGGCATCGTTAGTAAGGATATGATCTCGGCCACTTCAACAATCGCGTCGCTATGTATATAACCGAGGTGATATTACCATAAAGAACGAGCATAGATCTGCATACAAGAACCTGATCACGATCGTCCTAGTAATGTGTGAACGCTGGGGCTGTCGATCCTCAGACCTGATCGTACATCCATACTCCATACTCCGTACAGCATACTCCGTACAACATAACAGATGAGCAATCAGAAACGACTGTGACATCATTCCCAAAACAGTATAGGCTATCACATGACCGGCCTTTGACCCCGTCCCCGGGTTTTCTCCAGACTTCGGGGATGACCGAGCGTGTATCAACCCTCTCACCATGTCACTAATGGTGACACAAGTAGGGGTTGGTCGTGCTCGCTTCAACCCTTTGGTCAACCCGGTAAATTCGAAGCCGGTCCTCGTGGAAGAGTAAGTCCTAAACTGTCCAAGCAATCGCCGAACGAGCGCGAAATGGCTGGAGAGCAGAACAATGGCTTGGTCCCTTACATGACGCTGTACTTCAAAATTAAAGCCTGGCATGCGCCATGAAAGCCATGATTGCCATGATTTACACACGCCCCACCCCACATTCTGCCGCAGTGACAGGCCAGCCCGGTTGACAATTTTAAAGACACATCGAGTCCCAGCACCACATCTTCCTCTCACGCCCTTACCTCGGCGCGCTCTTATTCGAAAACAGCTCTTCCGATGCCCGCGACCACTGCGCCAACGAGCGCACTTTCCTTTCATGGCTCCGTCTGTCGATGTATCTGGCGATCGTGTCGATGGCCATCATCATCTCCTTCCATTTCCGCGATCAACCCACCGGCCTAGAGAGACGCATGGCCTTACCGCTCGGGATCATCTTTTGGATTCTGAGCTTGACCTGTTTGGCTAATGGGTTTGCGAATTACTCGCGTACGGTCAGGAAGTACGCGCGCAAGGCGGCTTTGGTGCAGAGTGGTTGGAAAACGCAGGTTGTCTTTACGGTCGTTGGGACGGTCATTCTGGGCAGTTGCATCTTGTTTTTGTCCACAGATCCAGCGCGGTAATGGTCGTTCTGGGGTCGGATTTGTCGATTTATTCCATTAGCGCTGGCGTTGGTATTCTTGGGCATTTTGGTTGCTTTCTACATTCGTTATTGTATTATTGTATTTAATGTCCAGATCAGGTCTCAGAGACTACTTGGTAATATTCAAAGAAAACTCGAAAAATCTCAGAACCAAGCGTTGAATATATTGTAATTTTCTCCTAAAATAAACAGAGAGGCCAAAGATCAGATTATGATGTCGCGAGAAGCGTCTTGTGTGCAGAGGTATATTTCCATGAATCTCGTAAAGGAGGCTGGGTTTGCTCCAGGGAATGCAAATGACAAAAGAAACAGCGCATAGACCGAAATGGAACCAAATTATACGATAAACTATACGTCGGGACATTTACATCCGACGGATTTCCCGCTCATTCTTGTACTTCTCCAGGGCTGGTGTACCGAGGTGGCTCCACCACTCGAAGAGCATGGAGTTGCAGATAAGCTTGAACCAGGGGGTAAATGTCAAACCGGGCTGCTCGAACATTGCCTTAAGCTCATCAGCTGAGACGTAGGTGGTGTCTCGGACCTCGTTGGGGCTGGGATCCAGATCGACATCGGCCTGGATGAAGAGGATATAGTCCACTAGCAAAATGTCAGTATTTCCATCGAATCAGATCTATATTGCATGTAACATACCCTCGTGCTCACCCCACTTTCCATCGCTGGGGGCCTTGTAGTGAATTCGGGTGAAGAATTCAAATTTGTCCAGGGGTACTTGCTCTGCCTTAATGCCCAGTTCGTGGTCCAGCTTGCGCTGCGCAGCACGCTTCACACCCAGTACGGCAGCATCGAGCTCAGCTCCAGTCTCGCCGGGAATGCCAAGGGGGTGTGAGCAGCAAGTGTTGGTCCACATATCAGGGAAGGTGATCTTCTCGGTGGCGCGCTGTTGGAGCAGAAGACGCTTATTGGAGTCGAAAAGGAAAACTGAAAAGGCACGATGAAGGAGACCCTTGTCGATGTTGGTCATTAAATGGCCTATGCAAATGCAACTGTCAGTGTTTTTATCTTGCCATGTTGTGTCCACTACCCCGCCATTCTGTACATCTGTGGGTGATTATAGGATGCGAAACATACAAATCTTCTTGCTGGCGCTTCCAATCGGCCGGTCATTGTTATCCAAAACAATGCAGACCTCGTCCATCAGGCGGACCTGCTCTTCATCGTATCCCTCTAGTTCGCTGCCGCGCGCAGTGTTTGTTTGGCTTATCGGGAGGACCTCACGGGCGAGCGATGTATCGACCTCGGGAAAGAGAGTGGCGACATTGTCCGCCGTGATCTCAGGCGGGCTTGTGATTGTCATGGTTGCGCTCATTTTGACTGAAAACTAAGGCTGAAAAGCAAAGCTGAAAGAAAGAATGAGAATCCCAAAGAAAGAATTCGGAGGAAATGCGGTCTTGGGTCAAAGGCGGCAATGATCGGCAAATTTGCCTCGGATTCCATCCGCAAGGTTGTTGGCCGGGGGAACTTGGGATTGGGAATCTCCAGACAACATTCTACCAAGGACAATCTATGGCTTACAAAAAGTGACTATATAAAGATCAGAAATTTCATTCAAGGCTAGATCTATCTGTGTGCGAAGGCCAAAAGCATCAATTCACACCAAGCCATCATGGGCATCAAGATAGCCTTGATCACTTCAGTTCAAGGAGACTAGTCAACTTCTCCAATTCTGCAACTTCCTCTGGCCCCAAAAGGCCCAACTTCTCCCGCCGAGTTGGCGCATTCGGGTCAAACACAGGCTTCTCAGCGAGCGAAGTCACCCGTGTTCCGTGTCTAGGCTGGGATCCCTCATAATCCCAGCTTGCGTTATGGATCGTGATGCTATTGAAAATAAGCTTCAAATCCAAGACCTTTCAGAGTATTGACTAACCGGTTATCCCACAATGCACTCGTGCGTGGACTCCATTTAAACCGAACCTGGATATCAGGGTTCTTCTCATAAACGTCGTATAGGTATCCCAGAATCACATCACTTTCGGCCTTGTCAAGCCCAACGATTCGGTCTGTCATCGACCGGTTCACCCACAGTGCCTTCCAGCCTGTAGCTGGATGAACACGGACAATAGGGTGCTCGCGCTCCACATACTGAGGCCCTGCTTCCGGGTCCTTACGATCGAGATATGGGTGAGCTGAGCGGTAGATGGCAGTCCTTCCGTCAATAAACTTGCGGAATAATGGCGACAGCTTCTCATATGCGGCGTATCCACTCGCCCAGAGGGTGTCACCCCCGACTGTCGGCACTGTGTCGTTGTGGAGATGGGTCACTCCGGCGGGCTGTCTCTCGTGTACGAGATCGCTATGCCAGCGAGACGCTCCTCCCGGCCGACGGAAGCTCGCTGGTCTCTCTGTTGCCTGCAATGCTGGCCACATAACACTAACGCCGGGGAGGCCAGGGACTTGAGGAACTTGCGGCTAGAAGAAACACAGTTGGTGATTCGCACATGGATTCGCTGGGTTGGAAAAAACATACATGAACCTCAATCTCTCCGAACCACTCTCCTAGTTCCTTCTGTTGCTGAGGAGTAATATCCTGGTCTCGGAAGAAGACAACACTTCGTTCGGCAATCAATAAGCCTAGCTCATCCTTCTGCTGGTCTGTCAAATCCTTCAGCTGCAAGCCGACGATTTCAGTTCCAATGTGCCTAGTCAAGTCAATCACTTCCTTGGCTGCAGACAGAAGTGCTTTCTTCTCGGGATCGGCTCGGCTGCCGGGGTCTACATGGACGCGATCATAGTTTCGCACGTTGTAAACGTCGTCAATATAGAGGGGACGAGATGGCCGGTACGGGTAGCCATCGCTGAGATCAATCCCAGCCTTTTCTAGGCGTTCTCGTGCAGACACAGGAAGGCCGAGAGTGTCCTTCTTGGGCACTACGACGTCGACGATGCGTGCATCAATTGGAGCGGGAGCCATGATGATAGATAATATTTGGAATAGTATAAATCCTATGAGTCCTAATATCAAGCCTACATGCAGTGCTATATACTCTGTTTAGAAATGTCGACTTGCTTATTGATCAACGTTGTACAACTGGGGTTTGAGCACATCATCGCCATCAACCATCACGTCTTTTGCGGGCCACGCATGTCACTTTTAGTTATCTCCGGCTGCCATCCTCATACCCCTCTTTTAGGACTTGTAAATTGTCCAATCTATACTGCTATGTGTACTTAGTCGAAGCGGGGAAGCTTCGATGTCACAATCCAATATCAAAATCACGAGTATCTCTAATATCTAACTCGCTGCCGTTTGTTCCGGGAAGCATGGCGATATATCAGCCCATGTTGTCGTTTGGAGGGCCCATAAGTGCGCGAACAATCCACGTAGACGCGGATATGCAAATTATCTCTTCGTCTTTCTTTTCGCTTGATAATCATGAGTGAGTCCGTTCGAGTTGCTGTTATTGGGGCTGGGATCAGTGGAGTGGTTACTGCTGGGCATCTTCTGGCAGCTGGAATTCAGGTGACGGTGTTTGAGAGGAACAATGCAACTGGTGGAGTTTGGTAAGATGGTGAATTGTTTATTTTGATCTGGAATAATGGACTAAAGCATTGTAGGATTTATGATAAGCGTACTCCGATTGAAGCCCAGTACCCATCGCCAAGACCGTCTGCTTCACAGGAATATGTGAAGGATGAGAGGGAAGGGAATGAAAGAAAGGTCTTGCTTCATGCGCCTCCGGGGTAGGTTTCTGATTTATGTTTTTTTTTAACTATAGCAGGCGTACTCACTATTGACCAGGCCTTGTTATGAAAGTCTCACCAATAATGTCTCGACACCCTTACTACGGACCAAACTCAACGCATGGCCAGAAGGAACTGCTCCTTTTGTGAAGCATAATGTGCTCAAGGAATACATCCAAGACACGTCGAAGAAGGCCGGTGTTGATGATATAACCAAGTTTGGCGCCCGAGTGACCCGCGTCCATAAGGATGGACCAAAATGGACGGTTCACTGGAGCACTTTGAGCGAAGGCCAAGATCCCACCGAGAAGGAGGAGTCTGCAGTAAGTTCTCATATCTATAAAATTTTTCATTCTCAGTGGTTCTGACCGGATCATAGACGTTTGACTCGGTGATTGTTGCCTCGGGCCATTACCATACGCCTCTCGTCCCGAATATACGGGGTCTACCAGAGGCAAAAGCCCAATGGCCGGAGAGGATCTTCCATTCAAAGTCTTTCCGAAGGTCGGAAGGATTCAAAGGAAAGGTAGGAGCGACTGCATTCTAGTATTGAGTGGCACTGAACTGACTCAACTACAGAATGTACTTTTGCTCGGTGGAGGTGTCTCTTCTCTCGACATAGCCACTGAAATCAGTGGAACCGCACATCACGTGTACCAAAGCACCCGAAATGGTGCCTTCGATCTCCCCGAGAGTGCACTTCCAGAAAACGCATCAAGAATCGCCGAGGTCGAAGCATTCGAACCTTCTACATCGACATCCGCGAACACCGAGCACTTGCCCTTAACCGTACATCTCAAATCCGGGGAGACCTTGCACGGTATAGACACAATTATTCTTTGCACAGGATATCAAATGGCACTTCCATTCCTCGACGAATATAATGATTACACTTCGTCTGCGGCCGAGGCAAATGATACCGTGCTCGTCACAGATGGCACTCAAGTCCACAACTTGCATCAAGACATCTTCTACATCCCAGATCCCACGCTGGCGTTTGTCGGCATTCCATTCTACACCGCGACCTTCTCTCTATTCGAGTTCCAAGCTATCGCCGTGACAGCCTTCCTGTCTGGAGTTGCGCAGCTTCCATCTACTGCGAGTCTCCGGACGGAATATGAGAATCGGGTTAAAGAGAAGGGACTTGGACGGAGCTTCCACTCACTCAAGGATAAAGAGCAACCGTATGTCGAGGAATTGATCAAATGGGTTAATACTGGAAGAGCTGAGCGTGGTTTGCCTTTGATTGAGGGTCATACTGAGAGCTGGATTACAGAGAGAGCGGCTTTGACCGAGAGACTTAAGTTGATTCTGGCAGGAAAGCTTCCTAGGGCGGATATTCTCAAAAGCCCATTGGAGGTGGGGGTTACTGCATGACCTATTAGAATATAGACATTGAAAGCATTCAGAGAAGTGATATTCGTAGTTTCTTGACTGTAACGTATCCCCGGAGGCTCTGCCAAGGCAGGTGCGATCCTGCTCCTTCCCATGTTACGCCTTCCTCTCGAGGTCTCTTCATCTCTCCACCTATGTTCTTTCCCCTTTAGCATGCGATATCACATATTTACCTCATCCTGGGACCATGAGCCCACAGCTTCAACGGCAAGGCAGGAATGGGCCCGCGCCTACCTTTGCGGGTCCTTCACCCGGGGTAAGCACGTCCCAACGTCCCTCAGTTCTAATTCAACCCCCAAGCCACATATGACAAGGTCACCGCAACGGCCTGCAACTAGGCTTACCATAACCGTAAGGTCGCGCAGTCGAGTTCTCAGGCAGCCACGAGCACGCAGACCGAGCTTGATAAGAACGACCCACGTCCCCGACTTCATATCATTGTTGACGCCAACGGAGATTCGGCTGTACGAGCGCATGTCACTAATAAAGCTTAGATAAAATATAACGTGTTTCGATATGTCGGTTCGGAAATATGAGATATATGGCGAGATGTGCAGGGGCGATGGCGAGTTTCTAGCTTGGGATGACAACATCATCACCACAAATCATTCCCCAAGTTGGCCAAGCGCCCAAGACTGGACATCTCGCACGGATTATGTTGAAAAAACTTGCATGAATTGCGCGAACAAGTCGCCCCTTCATTCGACGTGAAAATTGTCCGCTTGATGCGGAGTATAAATCTTGAAGCATGATTCACTCGGCTTTAAAAAGGGCCCCGATATGGCTCCATTCTATGCTGACACAAGCTTTGACAAGACGATCACTGACTAGGTAGGCTGGCCTTGTCAGGTTAGTAAGTCTTTGATATTAATCGCCTGTTAGACTTGGTAGTTTTTCTGCGCTATAAGAACGTTCCGATGTCTCCAATCCAATCTTTTTTCTCATTGCCACGACATCACCATGTCGCTAAAATACCCTACTGAAGCTGTTGTCGATCCGGCGACACAGATAGTTCAAAAAGAACCCAAGCGCAAATGGGTCAGCTACATTTGGGACACATTTGACAAGTCACCACAGGAGCGTCGCCTGCTTTTCAAATTGGATTCGGCCATTTTGACCTTTGCATCGTTGGGTAAGTTTCATGAAACTAATTATCTTGGAAAATGCTAATAGTCATAGGATACTTCATCAAGTATCTGGATCAAATCAATATCAACAATGCATTTGTCTCTGGGATGTATGGTACCATATTGACCCAATCTCGGGAGTTTGATATTGACAACTCATAGGAAGGAAGATTTGGGCATGTACGGCAATGAACTCAACTACATGCAGACATGCTGGACTATCGGCTACGTCATTGGAGAAATCCCTAGCAATATACTCCTAACTCGCATCAAACCACGATATTGGATTCCGGCTATGGAGGTAAGAGGTTCTGGTTCTATTTTCGAGAGCTGTATACTTACTTCTCAACAGCTTCTTTGGACGGTTCTTACAATGTCGTTGTCACGGTGCAACACTCCTACTCATTTCTATGTTCTTAGATTTTTCGTTGGTATGCAATAACTTCAAGCACTTACTCTATCATAGTGGGTTATTGACATTGCAACACTATAGGTATCGCCGAGAGTACCTTCTATCCCGGAATGCAGTATATCATCGGCTCCTGGTACCGGAAAGATGAGTTGGCAAAACGGTCATGCATATTTCACACGAGCAGCGGAATTGCCAGTATGTTTTCTGGTTATCTGATGGACGCGGTTTTCCACCTCGGAGGACGAGGAGGCTTCAAGGGCTGGCAATGGTAAGAAACTGGCAAAGTCTCGGCATTGGGTCATATACTAACTACCATCAAGGCTTTTTATTATCGACGGGGTCATTTCCCTGCCCGTGGCTATTAGTGGATTCTTTATCCTTCCCGATGTGCCTGAGATCTCCAATCCATGGTATTTGAGTAAAGAGGCAAGTTTGCTTTCAAACCTTCGCATTTGATACAGGTATTGACATCAAAGTAGGAGGTCACTCTCGCTCAAACGCGAATGAAATTAGAAGGAAGACAGAACAGACAGCCATACACAAAGTCAAAGCTGAAGAAAATCTTTACGTCGTGGCACATTTATCTTCTGACATTGCTCTACATGTGAGTTGAATACTGGAATCCATCTAGGACTAAAAGACTGACTCACCAATTTTAGATGTTTCAACAATGGTGCCGCTGGAAGCCAGCCTATCTTCCAACAGTTCCTCAAAGACTCAAAAGATCCTGTATATTCAGTCAGCCAGATCAACTCGCTACCAACCACCACCCCAGCCATTCAAGTCGTGACAACCCTCGCTTACGCGTGGATATCGGATACTGTCCTAAACGGCAAACGTTGGCCCCCGATCATCTTCGGTGCTGTGAGTGTAACACCACATAAGGAAATGATAGAAAAATCTAACACTGTCCCAGTGCGTCAACATCATAAGCTACGTCTCGCTCGCAGTGTGGAACATTCCGTTGGGATGGAAATGGACATGCTACATTATCAGCGGAGCTGGATATGGACTCAGTGGTCTGTTAATGGCGTAAGTCATATATTCCCCAGGCTATAAAAGTGCAAATGTCCTAACACAATTACCACAGCTGGGCCCATGAGATATGCTCTGACGATAATGAAGAGCGATCCTTGGTTATCGGAAGCATGAACGAAATGGCGTATGTTTTCCAAGCATGGCTGCCTCTTGTCGTTTGGCAGCAGGTCGATGCGCCGGAATACCGCAAGGGCTTTATCACGGTCACCGTTCTGTCTGTAATCTTGATCATCAGTACTTTTGTTGTGCGCTTCCTTCACAAAAGAGAAAAATTGAGAAAAGGGTAAGTATCTTGAAAGTGTGTTATGCTTTTAGGCTCGTGCTTGCTAACTGATGTGGTATATAGGAACCAGACTCACGAGGCAGAGGAGACGGAAGATAACTTGTCAGATTCTGCAGAAACAACCGATATTGAGACGAAGGCTATCAAGTCTTAGGATATTGATGTTGTTCATCTATGCTTCCTGAGATGGATATACCAAATGGAGAATAGACAGATAGACTCAAAGGTTAAAAGTACGTATAAGTTCCCTTAATCAATCAAAATTCTAGAGACATGAACGGAGTAACAGAGACCAGGCTTTTTCTATTGTCGACTTGGAGAGTAGTCCATATCCAATGATAATGCTAAATATTGATGAGCCAAGCGTTACAAGTTACAAGCATATGTTATCTTATTTCCCAACCATTTTCCAGGCTCGTCTGACATCTAGTAAGCCCCTTATTTAAGATTGAGCACGAACTCCGACGGAGTATAAACCAACAATCTCGGCTACAAGACCGTGTGATGAGTCGTGGTAGCGTGTGATGTGATCGAATACCCATGTCGATACCCAAGATCAACCAATCAGATCTCCAGTCTCCTTAGGATCTTGATACAAAGCCCGGTGGTTCAACCATACATTATCGACTTCGGATAACGCTTACCGATCTGACTGATAATTGGATTGTCCCTGCATGTCGTCAATCCTCCATACTCCGTCGATGAGAGCATTATCGCAATCTAGAAAGATAGCCAGGATTTCCGAAGATCCGAATCTAAACTCAGGGGTAGATTATAGGAATAAATCGATAGCTCAAGCTAGCCACCCGTGTGGTGCCGATTTCAAAGCCGTTGAAAGTACGGAGTGGTGTTAGTGGCGTTGCGGACTAGTGAAGGGGATGGACATATCCTGAAGTACAAATTCCAAAATTATGATAGCCCTTTTGAAATTGAGAGCTCCATCACAAAATGAGACGGTGGGACAAGGATTCTCTTGTTCCTATTCCTGGCCCCTAGTTCATTGCGGATACGGAGGAATCCGTAGAGATCGGCATTGATTCCTTTTGGGCAATAATCTCGAGCTTGGACTTTTCTTTTTTCCAGCTTTTTTCTCTAGCTTGGGGCCATAGCTCCGATGGGGAATCATAGGGATCTGCAAATCGAATGTGGGAATATTGAGAGACAGCTTCTTATTAGCTATGCTATACCTATATCTCCCTGCTCAATGTATCAACGTACTTTTTTACCTTTGCTCCATACAATCCCACCCGGAGCAAACAGGAAAATGATTGCCGATAGGGTAATAAGTACAAACGCCTCATCTCGGAGAGCCTATCGTGGAAGGGATATATGACTCCTGGATTTTCCGGGCCCACTCGCGAATCTCAGGGGCAATGGAATCGGTACCTGACTCTGCTATATTAGACATTCGGATGTAGTTTATGATCACGGACCATTTTCTAAATAGGCGAACAGACGCGATGTCTCCTGCGCGGCTGCACCGGAGGCACAATTCCAAATGGTCAATTGTGGTTTGGACTCCACTTAGCGGAGATAGCGGGGTGGAAGAGAGGATTCTGGACAAGAATAATGACTATTTGTTTAGGAACGTCGGATTCCCACTCTATTTTCCCGTGCGAGCAAGGATTAATAAATTGCAGGAGGTCAGGGCTAGAAGTGAGACACAACGCGATACTTCACCTGGGGATTTGCGCTTTTTTTGTCGGCACTTGCGAAAACAGAGAACGGAGCAAGAGCGCTTTTGAAAACACTAAGACAGTTAGAGTTGTTTCACAGTCTTCCTTCAAAGATCGTCTGAATGTCGACGATCCCTCTTAATCTTAGCGTGTGAGTCGGCGTTCTTAGGTGGAGCGCGGCAAGAGTCGAGATCCCAACGGGCCTCGAAGAGTCGAAGAGGGGGAAGGGGGGTAGTTTTTGAGTCGGAGGCGATCCCTGGGAATAATTCCTTGGTGAATTTCTGTTCTCGTGGAAATAAGTCCAATTTCCACGCAGAACAATGTCCTTTTGGGTCTCTCGTACGAGTCGTTGGTCCGGACTTGCATTCATACACAATATGTATGTTGTACTGGTCAACTTCAAAGACTTCCAAGACTCTGATCTTCAGCATCCCTGCTACAGACCATGCAGATCTTGAGCTAGAAGTGATGAGATATTCCTTGCTACCCGCGCGCCAGCTCATGCGCATGCAAATGATATCACATTCGAACATGGGAAATATGTACGGGGTAATATATCAAACAGTAGTATAGTCAATTTAGTCAATTGAAATGAATTAAACAATGCGATAAGCAAAAAAGACCACCTGCAGTACAATAATCCAGAATTCCAACCAAATGCATCGTATAGCAATCCAACAACGCCAAGGAAATGGGGCTTCATGCCATGAAATATATGAATCCTCATAGGAGTCTCGCATTCATGAAGCCCAGTAAAAAAAATAGAAAATTTGAGTAGCTCTGACTAGCAGATCCCAGAATGGCAAACCCATGCAATCCAAGAACCATAGCCAAAGACGATATATCCCGATATTCGTTTAACATGCAGACATGTGATCAGCTGTCCGAGCTACTAGCTAGCTGAGCGGCGGTGATTCGGCACTCGTTGGCGTTGCTTGGGCGTGAGCGAAGGATCAACGTGGCCGGTAAACTTCGCAGTGTTGCGCTGCTTCTCCGCACAATCATGTCTATTGCTCATATTAGTCCCACGAGTACACATTCAAGGATAAATATTCTGGGTTCTTACCTGGCTAGACTATCCTGACGACTGAAACGCCGGTCGCAAGAGTCACAGCAGTACTTCCGAAGCCCGAGATGAACCTAGAGACCTTGTTAGTGTCTATGCTTGATTCCGTCTGGCCTCCCTACTCACGGTGTTCATGTGTCGTTTGAGATCCGAGCTCCGGCCAAAAGACTTGTGGCACTCATCGCAAGGATGGTTGTGCCTCCATTCAGGGTTGTGCAGCTTTTGGTGCTCCTTGCAGTTGGAGCGTCGCGTGAATTTTGCGCCACAAATTGGACATTCCAGGCCACTGGCAGATACTAGCCTGTCATTTGACGCGCAGCGCTCTATTGTACTCGGGTCCGTGACACCATCGGAGAATCCTTCGATAGATGCTTGGGGTTGCAAGACTTGACCAGTGTTGATTCCAGATCCATCGTATCCAATCTCCTCTCCCATCGCCCCAAGGTAGGACATGTCGTTGACGGATAATAGGGGCATCGGAGAGGGCATACACACGTCCGAATACACACTCTGGTCCCATTGTCCTGCGCCGTTCGGTACAGTGACCACATCCGATGGCGTTGTCGGTCCCGAGCAAGGTGTGTGCATCCACATATCGGTCATTTGGCCCGCGAAGACATTCTGGCCAGAGGCAATCTCCATGCCAGAGTTGTAGCTGGGAGACGCGCTCATCGTCGTGGGGCTGTAGAACCCCAGTGAAGTCTCTGAAGCACTGTTGACGAGTCCATCGTAAACTGATGGATAGCATGCTCCGGCAAAGTCGTCATAGGATAATGCGAAGGTGGGATTTGGCGCTCCAGGAATCAGTTGCGATGGCAGTGTCGACGTAGGGAAGGCCCTCAGTTGACCGAATCCATTGTCGATGTCGCAGCGGGAAATTCCCAGACCAATAGGGGAAACACCTCCCTGGGACGAGGTCGAAACAGGAGACGAGTATATTGAGGATGCTTCGCAAGACTGTATCTCCTCTCTTCGCGGGGATGTAATTGAGGTGCGCTGAACTAAATTCCGATTCATGGTGTAGAGAGAAGCCGAGATAAAAAAAAGAAGAAGTGTATTCCCATCAAATAACCAACCGGAGGGCTAGTCTATATCAGAGTAAATAAAGGGTGATCAATGCAAGTATATATAGTAAAGGCTCTGGAGTCAACAGCTTCGCTGTTGGTGATTGACAGTGGTGGCATACATCGGTGGCTGAGAGGAGGGTGGTGGATAGGGTGTGAATTCATTGGAGAAGAACTTGCGCCGCATCGACACCGACAAATGCTGAAGATTCAACGACCTGACACCGTAATAGACAAGGCAGATTTGGAGAAGAAAGGGTCTGTAATTGCGGTGGAAGAGAAAATCGGGTGGGGGCATTAACGGCCGGGGGGGTAAGGGTAATCCGGACGAGATGGCAGTCCAGGTCTGGCATATGTGCACTCACAGAGGGCTAGCTCCGGAGAGATCAAGATAGACTATGTCATAGCCACCTAGGGCAAATCAATGCATTTGCAGCCTAGTTTCGGCCAATTTTAGAGATCGTAATACCCTGTAAGAACTACTAAGGTACATAAGAGATATGACGGTGCATAACGGCGGCTCTTGGGTTTGTCTGGGAAAGGCTAACCATCCATTTGACCACCGTTGGGCTGGTCTGCCCAACCGAGACGTGTCCCATGCAGGGAGTAGCCATACAGAAACAGCACCAGAGCCCGAGTCTCTGGTTCGGCTTGGCGAGGTGCATTGGTCGAGGGGCCTGTCGACCAAGAGCACAGCCCTGAGACGGTGGGGAATGTAGTATTTTCTGACGAAGTCCGGAATCGGGTGATGGAGTTGATCAACAATTCATGAGCAGAACTAATTATCGTGACCTCCGTCGTATGCGGGCCAGCCCTTCCGAACCGCTCGATCCCTTTGGCTTCATGTATACCATAGCGCGGAAACTCCACATTGACTCCACCGGTAATTGACGCGCCCCCGGACAAACTGTAGCTCTCTATGAGATATCCGAATTCAACATCATGGCCGTGATCTATTTACTCGCTTCCCCCCTCTTGTGGATCAAATATGAGATTGATTGAAAAAGGAGGACCAATCTTGAAACGCCAGGGACAGGGGGGGGGAAGCCACCCCCCAAAAAAAGGAAAAAGGAAAATAGGAGAAAAAAAAAGCGAACGCCGAAAAAAAAGCACCAAGCCTGTTTCGATTAGGCCGTCATCGATGTGGTTGTTCACAATATCGAACGGCTTTTTTGGAGTTGTCAAGGTGGCTCTGCCACTAAACCGAACGGACGCCGACTAGCGCTCAGTCCGGCGCAGGGGCGTGCGTGGCTCTAAGCGCTAGGGCAGTGACCCCTCTACGCGCCTTTCTTTTCGAACCCGACTCCACAGAGCCAAATCACAGTGCGGAGCCGTATTCTGTGCCCAGAAAATTGTGTAATGGTCACTTTTGCTGGGCAATAGCCTCCACTTGAGTTCGTAGTCGCTCTATCGTGTCGATCAGGTCCGCAAGCTGCGGTAGTAGCTTTAGTTCGCCCAGGTAGGAAGAAATATGGACGATCATCGCGTCAGATCTCTCTGGTTCGTATGTTGCAAGGCTACTTGGCCGACCTGCCCCATCTCTAGCTCGCGCACGGCTTGTTGATCCACACTAGGTGCTTTTCCAGGGCCTAGGCGATTTGTTTCAACTACGGAGGGGTGGTGTGGGTCCCGGCACCTTGATTCAGTTGGTTCAGAAGTTCCCTGACCGCGTGCTGACATTGGGGGTAGTTGGATAGTGGTTCGTTTTGAATGTCGCCATTTAGACTCGTACGCCCATATCAACGCGACAAACGGGAGGTGAGTGGCTCGAAGCAGGACAATGCGTACGCGACGAACCGTTCCGGCAGAGAGAAAAAGCCGCATGGGGCGGATACAGAGGAGGGGAATAAGATTCTGCCGAGTATTAGCTTGGAAATATTCCAGAAGATACAAAGAAAGATTCAAGTTTCAACGATCAGACGCTAACTGACCAGGGGTGGCATGAAGTATGTCAGTCGCCGAGAGTTGCTGCTTTCTAGCACATAAATGGCCAACCTGATTGGCTTGTCAGTCAAATGGAATTTTCCATGGGGCAGTGCCAAATTTCGGACCAGCAGGGATGTTTGTATACTTACTGAAAAAGATATTCTTCTCGAGCATGGCGCATCACCTATCACAAAAAAAGAAATTAATCAGCCACACAATATACCTAGTAGACCGTTTTCCCTTACCCCTTCGAGGCTCATGCTCATCAAACTAATCAAAGATGAAAGAATGAGGGTATTGGTCATCAAGGCGAAAGTAAGCCTAGAAGTCATTCCTGTCAGTATCTGCATTACATTGGCAACTGCGTGGAAGTTGTAGATTGCCGTGTGCTCAAAGCGCCCCAAAAAGATTCGGTCACTTGCATATCGGAACGTGATCAAAAGCACATGCGACTTTTTTCAACGTGGCGCAATAAAAGCCAAAAAAAACAAGGGAACCTACATCAAGCCATAGCCGAAGATGGGGGAGATCTAAAAAAAATGTTAGCGTGCATTTCAACTTAACACGACAGCCAACCATTTCGCCAATATTCCGGAATAATGCGGTTTGAGCTGCAGAACAGCCGCCTGGTGCGCAGACTTACTTCAGACGCGGTGTCCTGTCATCCAATAAATTCAGCCACTGTCAGTGCACATCCTAAAGAGGGAAAGGAACGTGGGAACCCACTAATCCAAGAACACTCGATCTGCCTCAAGTGGTCAGCCAAAAATTAAAAGAGCGGTCACGACAGGGGTTCCTTCACCGTACCCAAAGAACACTTTCACTAACAAATGTGACATTGTACTGAGAGACAAGCGGTCACGGGCAAGCATTGTGAATGTGGTCAAGAAACCTGTAGGGGATTCAGCATTTTATTCGGCTCCGACATGCTTCACTTTGTAGGGCGGAATGCTTTGCCACACTTACCAATATACAGTACTACCACCACGGGGAAAAACCTGAAGAATGCTTTTGTCTGAAACAGATTGTCAATCAGCCTTGGGTCGCAAAGCCTGAGCGAGGGGTTGGGGGAAAATCGCACCATCTCTTTCAACACCGGTATCTATTCATATCAGTCAATCCTGTTCTAAAATAGTGATGCTTCATGCAGGATCCACTTACTAGACTGCCGAAGTATGAATTCAAGCTCACAAGCGAACAGATCCTGCTCATTCCGTGTCAGCCCTGTCGCACAAATGCATAGTCCATGAGTAGCCATGCCTTGGTACAAGAAACAGAGCCTCCAAGGAAAGAATGTCGAATGAGAGCTCAATGATGTCGTTGTCGCCCTTGGTTAGCCCGATAACCCCTGTGGCGTTCTCATCAGTCGCACCATCAACACAGATGACCTGCCAACGAGCCGTAAGGCAGATTGGGCACTCGATGACTCACTTGTTACGACAAATGCGATCCCAACACCAATTATGCTCACGTTCCAGAGGCTCCAGAAGTCCATTTGGTAGAAAATGACTCCGGCATCAATGATCCCACTCAATTCGTCATACGCAAAAGCGACGATCCACACATACATCACTGCCTCGAAGACGCCAACGGCATCTTGTCTCCTCTCTATCAGTACTGCGTAGTAGAGAAAGAGGAAAGACATGAAGAATGCTGCTTCAAAGATTTTCCGATACAGAGGGACTCTCAGGCGTGAATACGGATCAGCCGTTCTGATGAAAGAATAGTCAGTATCTCCGCGAGACTATCCCGTGTCGCGTCTAACCTTGCGTTGAAAATATGAGGTTTCTTGGTTGAATTGACCGTCAGAGAACCCCAGAAAACGATTTCACCCTTCCAAATACCATCGACCACTTTTTGAACAACTTTTTGGCTCAGAAATGTCTTTGCATTGGCAATTGTCGCAATCTCAAGTGCATTCAATCCAAAAAACCGGGAATATCTCTGGGCGGCATAGGTTTCCTCTTGGTATGTATCTTGTGAAGCTCCAGATAACCGAGTCTCTGTGACCCTCCTGCTGCTAAAAAGGCGATAAAAAGAAGAGGACTTTGGCAAGAGAGGAGTGGTCTCACTTTCCTCTTGTCTACCTTGGATAGATGCCAGGGCAGGGCTACCTGCTTCGGAACCAAGGGTATTTGTCGAACCGCGCCGCGGTATTGGTAGCTCTTCCAGCAGAAACTCAATTGTCTCGCGCTGGTTCAGGTGACACAGGAATTGCCAGGCAACAAATTCGCAGGCTGCACCACGGCTCTCATTAAGTCCCCAGTCATCCTCGGTGGCGGTGGTGAAGTCCCATTTCAAAATCCTGGATCTGTTAATCAACCAATCCAGTTCTAGCGTCGTCTTTGTGCTGAACTTACATCAATGCCACAATGATATAAGGGTTGTGAGTATCATCTGCCAAAGCATGGACCAGTTGTCTAAGACGGTGTCCTTGGGCTCCGTACAGCATTTGCTCAAACGTGTAGGCCATATCACCCACGGCCATGCTGATGAAGCTACAGGGGGCTTGGTTAATCCAGCTCGATCAAGATCACAGACAAGGCTTACTTGAACAGTTTAGGAAGAACATCGAATAGCGGCTCATCAATTTCGATCACCGGAATTTCCGTATGAACCATGGTTTTATCCATCTGGAGATTGACTCCAGGGTTTCCTTTCAATAAAATTGGCTGTTTGCTTTTGTTCTCCTTTTTTTTGGACCTAGTGTATCTCCCCTTAGGGATAAGGCAGAACTGCAGGTATCAAGACCGAGGTATTGATGGAAGATCCATGTTTTTGGATCGGCGGGGGGTTCAATTGACCACAAATAACACCGTAGCAATGAGCTCTGTCAGTTTAAGATAAATAATCGGCAATTTTAATATGAAACACAAAAATTGTTAGAGGAAAAGCTGACGAGTTGCAAGTTGCCAACAACATCTTGCTGACCGCCTTGTGCACGTGTCGACACGTCCAGTGACTTCATCAGCTTCAGTTCGACTTTCCTTATCGCATAGTTCTCCCCAATCATCTCCATCGGATTTAATCATTCTCTGACTCTGAATAATTGCCATCAAATCTCCAACGGGAGATGATGGGCAGTCGACACCATGGGACAAGGCTACTCCCTCACAACCCTGTCCGCGGGTTCGGCGGGGATCGATGTGCCTGAATTATCTGACATGGTGTATGAGAAGTCGATGGGAGGTGGCAGGTTTATGAAAAGCATTCGCGCAAGGCAACCAAATGGTCTGGTGTTCATCAAGATTATCATGAAACCGTTCCCAACCATGGAACTGGAGCCATATATCAAAAACATTGCAAGTATGTTTAGATCCCTTTTTACTATTTCAAGCTTCTAATGTCCATCTCAGGAGAACGAAAGTTATTGGCGGATGTGCCAAATGCGCTGAGCTATCAGAGGATTGTTGAGACTGCCACGAGTGGATACCTTGTGCGCCAGTACATTCACAGCTCTCTCTACGATCGAATGAGGTAGGTCTGTTGAGGGTGTTACTAGCGAAAGACGCCTAACATTGATATATAGCACACGCCCTTTTCTAGAGCATATTGAGAAAAAGTGGATTGCCTTTCAGCTATTGTGTGTTCTTCGAGATTGCCATTCACTGGATGTCTACCATGGTGATATCAAGACTGAAAATGTTTTAGTCACATCTTGGAACTGGCTATATCTTTCTGATTTCTCGTCGTCTTTCAAACCCACATTCCTCCCGGAGGATAATCCAGCAGATTTCTCTTTCTTCTTCGACATCTCCGGGAGGCGAACCTGTTACTTAGCCCCCGAGAGGTTCTCTGTTGCCGGGGAAGAGCCCAGTGAAAGCGGCGTGAACTGGGCAATGGATATTTTCAGTGCTGGCTGTGTCATTGCGGAGCTTTTTCTTGAATCGCCGATCTTCAACTTGAGTCAAATGTACAAGTATCGCAAAGGGGAATACAGCCCAGAACACAGTCAACTAGCAAAAATCGATGATCCGGACATTCGAGAGTTGATACTGCATATGATCCAGCTTGAGCCAGAGTCTCGGTACTCGGCGGATGAATATCTGAATTTCTGGAAGGGCAAGGCTTTCCCGGAATACTTCTACAGTTTTCTCCACCAATACATGTCCCTCATGACCGATCCTTCTTCAGGGCGGACAGATGTGGATGCAGAATCAGCCAACCGAAGGGAGGCAGACGAGCGCATTGAGCGAATTTACCTAGACTTCGATAAAGTATCTTACTTCCTCGGTTCTAACACCCGTGGTGTTGGTGCTTTATCTAGTGTCCCAGTCACTAAATTGACAGGCAACACCCTTCCTGTGAGGCTTGATCCGCCAAAGGGTGAAAGCCAACTTTCCGCACCGCAGTCACAGCCCGACGAGGGTGCTCTGATTTTCCTAACACTTGTGGTATCCAACTTGCGAAATACAGCGAAGGCATCGGCTCGGATCAAGGCCTGCGATATTCTTCTTGCATTTGCAGAAAGGCTGTCCGATGAAGCTAAATTGGATCGCATTCTTCCATATATCATGGTATTACTAAGTGATCGAACCGATACTGTCAAGGTCGCTGCGATCCGCACCTTGACCCAATTACTGAAAATGGTCCAGGTGGTTTCTCCAGTAAATGCCTATCTGTTCTCCGAATACATATTTCCACGGCTCCAGCCGTTCGTTGCTACCTCCAACAGCAAGTCAAGTGCCATGGTGCGTGCGGCATATGCCTCATGCATTGCGTCTTTGGCCCAGTCATCCTTGAGGTTTTTGGACATGATCCAAGCATTGCGTTCAGATACTCGTTTGGCTGCGTTGATTCCGGTCGGCTTTGAGCCCCGATGGACTGAAGATGCGACTTATCACAATCTCTATGACGTGGCGCGGGTCGATCTTCTAGAATACTTCGAGGTTCACACAAAAATGCTGTTGACAGACACGGATGCATCAGTTCGGCGAGCGTTTTTGGGGTCTGTTTCTAGCCTTTGTGTTTTTTTCGGCAATCTCAGAGCAAATGAGGTTGTTCTTAGCCATTTGAATACCTACCTGAACGATCCAGACTGGATCTTGAAATGCGCCTTTTTCGAGGCAGTCATCGGTGTGGCTGCCTACGTGGGGAGCCTGAATTTGGAGCTATACATATTGCCGCTGATGGTTCAGTCCATGACCGAGCCCGAGGAGTTTGTTGTTGAAAGGGTAATTCGATCTCTGGCAGCCATGGCTGACTTGGGCTTATTCCAGCGATCAACAACATGGGATCTCCTACACACCACTGTTGGATTTTTGGGGCATCCGAACGTCTGGATTCGGGAGGCAGCAGTCAAGTTTGTGGTTAATTCCGCCAAATTTTTATCAATAGCGGATATTCATTCCATCCTGACACCCATTATCCGGCCTTTCCTCAAGATCAAAATCGTTGTGATTTCGGATACCCAAATGCTCGATGCACTCAAACGGCCAATGTCCAGAAGTGTGTACGAAACGGCCTTGCTCTGGGCTTCCAAATCAGAAAGAGGTGTTTTCTGGAAGTCTCCAAGTCGCGATGGCATGTTCAGCTTGTCTGAGCCTGGATCATTCAGTCCCCGGGTGGGTCAACGGAATCCTTCCTTTAACATGGCCGCCCAATCAAGAAATGACGAGGACGAGCAATGGCTTAGTCGGTTGCGAAACGTTGGGATGGGCCCTGAGGATGAATTCAAGCTTCTCGCACTCAAAGACTACATTTGGAGGGTCTCATTGCGGCAATCGAGAGAAAGTGATGTCCATTCAAGCCCACACTCGAACGACATTGTCAGCTTGACACAAAATGGAGTCAAGCCCCAGACTGTGTTCTTTGATAAGGAAATTAAAGATCAGCCGCGACCAAGCCACTCAGACGCGAACGACGGCACCTCCGAGGAACCAAGGCCGAGAACAATTGCGGATGCTTTACTTGACGCTTCTACAACCATTGAGCGAATGCCCATTGCTCAACGCAGGCACTTGCGGTCGAAAAGCCAACTTTCGAAAGAGACAAGACGTTCCTCGCTTGTTCCTATCTTGGACGGAAATGATACTTCCTCATTATCATCGTCTCCAGTGATATCATCGCCTGGCGGAGGACTTGCGTCTCGTCCATTGTCCCCTCCGAACATTGATAATGATCACATGGTTTCCAGTCGCCGACCGAGCCCTGGGCAAGACGGCTCGTTGACACCAACCAACCTAGACACTAGAAGTCTATCCGATCGTGTACATAAAAAGCCTAGCGCGATGAGTTTGTTGAGTCGGAACTCTGCCAAAGCCTACGCAGAAACCGGTACAAGCTCCGCAAACGCCTTTGGAAAGGTAGATGCACCGATTCACAGAGGAGGCACACCCCAACCATTGACACCATTGCTTCCACCCGAGCAAAAACTGACGCAGAAATATCGTGCACACCATTCGTATGGGGGCAACGACCCTGCGGTCCTGCGGCTGCTAGACAACGTCTTTGAGGAAAACTACCCGACGGATCTATTTGATCTAGGGCCATATGTGAAAGAACTTGACACCCGGCAACCGATTCACGGCGCCACTGATCAAGAGCCAAGTAAGATCTGGAAACCTGAAGGGAATCTAGTCGCGACCTTTGGCGAGCACAGTGCGCCAATCAATCGTGTTGTGGTAGCACCAGATCACTCCTTCTTCGTTACTGCGTCTGACGATAGCACGGTGAAGATTTGGGACACAACTCGTCTTGAAAGAAACTTGACTCCTCGATCGCGTCAAACTCACCGTCATGCAACAGGCTCGCGCGTGAAGGCTTTGACCTTTGTTGAGAATACCTACACTTTTATCAGTGCGGCTACCGATGGCAGCGTTCATGCCGTTCGAGTCGACTATCAAAAAGTCAGTAAGACAGCCGTCCGATATGGCAAGCTTCAAATCGTTCGCGAATATCAGCTGCCCATAGCCGAAGACGGGTCCCTTGAATACGCGGTCTGGGTGGAGCACTTCCGTGACGAAGGGCAGTCGACCTTGATTATTGCGACGAACACTTGTCGCATTATTGCGTTGGACATGAAAACCATGCTCCCGATCTACACACTAGAAAATCCAGTTCACCACGGCACACTGACTACATTCTGTTGCGACCGCAGACATCACTGGCTTCTGGTCGGCACAACCCATGGGATTCTCGATCTGTGGGATCTCCGCTTTCGTGTGCGACTGAAGGCATGGGGTCTTCCAGGCTGGGGTGCTATCAACCGGATCCAACTACACCCCGTCAAGGCTCGCGGACGCTGGGTCTGCGTATCCAGCAGCGGCAGCCACGGCAATGAAATCACAGTGTGGGATATCGAGAAGTTCCGCTGTCGCGAGGTTTACCAAGCCACCCCACTGGGCGTCGGCAATAATGGCCCCAATGGCGCTCATCATCCTCCCCGCGCCGCTCATGTCTACCCGACGGCTGTCGTGCCGAGCGATTACGAAGCGTGGCGGGTGGATGGCGACCGGCCAGAAGGGATGCTGAGTCGCTTTGCAAGCACTGAACCAGGTACCCCATCCTCGAATAATATAGCCGGCGATCGACTTGGCATCTTGGCGTTTGCGGTCGGCCTCAATGCCCCTGTCGACGACAAGGACACCAACACGAAATGTGGATACATCATCTCCGCAGG